TTTACAACGATGGGAAAGAGGTTCAAGCTTAGCAGATAGTCCAGGTCCAACAACATTTACAATGCGTTTTTGGACCTTGTCAAGAAGAGAAAGTGAATCGTTAGAAGAACCAGGCCAAATATGACAACAGTATTCCATACAGGGACGTATAAGAGATTTGTAGAGGTAGAGAATGGAATCAGAAGTAAGGAAACGGCGAGCACGATAAAGAGAAGCAACCTTAGCAGAAGCTAATTTAGCAATCAATTGTATATATGGTTTCCATGAAAGGTTAGTAGTAAGCGATAATCCAAGAAAACGTAAAGAGGAGGACTCAGTAAGAGGATTGCCATTCATTAATATAGAAATGTTGACCATATTACGGTAGTTGTTTGCAGTAAGCAACTGGGTTTTTTTAGAGTTGAAATTCACAAGCCACTGTGAACCCCAATCTATTACTGAAGTGAGATCGGATTCAAGATCAGCTGCTTGTACTAGGCGACCGAAAAGAGAAGACTTTTTGTCAAGACAGGAGTATAAAGTTGAGTCATCAGCAAAAAGAGCTACTTTAGATAAAAGGTTGTCAGGAAGATCGTTTATGTAGATAAGAAACAAAACAGGGCCCAGGATGGAACCTTAGGGAACCCCAGAAGTTACTGGAAATAAAGAAGAGTGTTGGCCTTCAAGGATGACTTTAATAAACCGGTTAGAAAGAAATGATTTGAAAATCTCAAAAACTTTCCCAGAAACACCATATGAAGCAAGCTTATGGAGAAGACCAGCATGCCTAACATTGTCGAAAGCTTTAGATATGTCGAGAGCAATAGCCCTAGCCTCACCGCCTCCATCTAATGCACGATAAAATCTTTCAGTTACAGCAGTTAGCAAGTCGGCCATAGAGCAAGAGGATCAAAAACCGTCTGACAGTAGTTTATTTGACTCAAGATGAGATGTGAGGAATTAGTTGATCAAAGACTCAAAGACCTTGCTAATAACAGAAAGAAGACTGATCGGACGATAATTGGAGGGGTCAGAATTTTATCCAGAGTTTTTGAATATTGGAACCACAGATGCCATTTTCCAACAAGCAGGAAAACAATACTCATAATGTCAAAAAAACTCATAATGTCAAAAAAACTCATAATGTCAAAAATAATGTCAAAAAATTTGTTTTATATTTTTCAGTTGTAAAAATATAAAACGTTCATTTATTCAGTTGTAACAATAGTATAATCACTGGTAATATATTTAATGATAACAGATGTATAATATTAATCTCTGATAACAGATGTATAATATTGAGCTTGAAAAAGTTATTAGTGTAAATGGTTATAGGTGACTTGAAATTGTTGTCATATGAAAGAAATAGATGTAGACGTGATAAAATTAATTGTCGTTGAAATATAAGAAATTTTGCTTGATGAACAGAAAACTTTTTTGCCAGAATTCAGTGTCAAGCGGTGTTGATGTCTATTATTTGATTTTACACTTTAAAATATGAATTTTAAAGTATGAATTTTAATATTTTTAATATTTTCATTTTAAAGTATGAATTTTACTATTTATAGTAACAAGTAATAACAGTTTCAATTTTTAATGATTTTTTTTTTTTTCATTTGTAATCTTAAACATAATTGTGTTCATTTTTGTTTTAGTTGTCTTTGTCATCACTTGATTATTTTTCTAACTGTTGAAACATGGTTTTAATTTTGTAAATTTAATATGATGTGAAATTTACAATATTAATCATTTGTCAACAGTCAAAGAGAAGCTGGAACTTAATTAAGAAATTCTGGAAATTAACTTTTAGTTAAGGTAAAAATAATTTTGTTTATTGGTAGCATAATAAAACCAGTTACTGTTATTTATTGCATGACTTTTTTACTTTTTCTAATGTGCTGTTTTTAAAACAATTTCTCTCTCTCTTAGATGAGACTTAGAAAAGAATTAGTATAGAGAGAGAATAGATTAAACTCATGTAATTACTGAGCTCTTGCATATTTTTTAATACTGCGAATGATAATTTGCTATTTAAAGATATAATTCTTTAAATTGTCCTTTGGTTGTTATTGGTTATTGTAATAAATAAAATCTTTTTAGTTTCAAGTATTTTATTCTAGGGATCGTCTATATATTACGTAACGCGAAATTAAAAATATGGACAAAAGAAATATCTCAAAAACCGTGTTTCTCTCATAGTCAACTATATGTTGAATTTTCAAGAACTAAAGCATTTTATATTTTATTTTTCAAAATTGATAAACATCTTATTCAAGGTATAGTAGGTAAAAAAATGTAACATAAATATTGTTGTATTCTTTAATGTTCTTAATTTATAGTCTTGAGATTTTCATTTCGAAAATTTACTGTTAAAGGTTGTGAGCACATTTTGTATGAATAACTTTATTTATCATTATTTATTTTTTTTCATAGTTTTTGATAAATACATCTATCATTCAATAGTTGCAAAATGTGTTTATATGTGTTATTACTTGTCTGCGTTTTTTTACGCGGTTTAAATTTTTATATCTGGCTAAATATAATCGTTTTTTTATTCATTTGTCTACATTCTTCTAACAAGTACATTCCAGGTATCAAATCCATTTTTTCTTAACTTTAATCACTAGCTTGTTTACCAATGTTAAAATGGGCAACTGCATCAAAAGCACCAAACTGAAGATGCGTAAGCAAAACATAATGGCCTTTTGGTATACGCTCCCATATTGTCACTTTAAATGATTCATTGTTATTTTGGGTAAGGCCATGAAGACATTTTTTTTAAAGAATGTCATCACTTAACTCATCATAAATTTATTTGAGTTTTCAAACAATCGGTATAGGTAAACCAAGGCCAGGCCTATATGTCAAAGGTATGATTTGCTTTGTCGCGACACCAACTATCTGCACCTTCGGGACAGTGAGGAAAATGTAAATTTTCATTTTTCGATGAAGCAACATGATAAAGCGTAGTTCTTACAGCAGATTTCATACCGTCAAAATCATTTTTGTTTTGACGAATTGCTTTGCCGTAATAAATTTGGAGACGATCAATAGTTGCATCAGTCAATTTTCGGCGACATCTTAGACCTTATGTTTTACAATAGACCTATTCAAATATTATGCAGGTTCCCTCTGGCTCCATACCACCAGATAGTCCTTGCTAATTATAAGTACATTTTTGTTTATTGTGCCATTTTCTATAGGCAAATTCTTCAAGAAAATAACCTATACATACTTTGTTCATTGCTTCAAAATCTAATACTTTGCCTGTTTCCATTGAAATAACAGAAACAACTCTATTATTGCATAACTCCAACTGCATCGTCAGTAATGGAGTTTAAAATAAAATGATAATTTTTCAAATCTTTTAATTCTTGAGCAGCATCCATTATTGTGTCTTCAGCTACGCATTTTACTGCATTTGTTAATTTTAAAATAATTTTATTATAATTGTTAATAGTCATCGATTTAGGCGTGTCCATCAATGAAACAAATCTTGAAAATCCAGAATAACCTTGACCGCATGATCATATGGTATATACAGCATGGTTTTTGTATCAAAACATTTTTGTTTGTTGAATGTCGATGAGTAAATTTCTTTTGAATGGTTACAAATAAAGTAGTTAATATAGAGACATCTAATGATGAAACTACAGAGTTAAATATTTCTAAATCAATAAAGCGGTATCCTATATTTAAGCTACTTGATATTATGGATCTTGATGATGAAACGTTTTTTAATTTTTTTAGCAGAAGCACTAATTTGATCAGAATATTAAAATCAATAGTTCGCATTATATTTACATTTATATCTTTAACACTTTTAGTAATATTTACATTCGTATCTACACAATTTGATTCTATATTTACATTGCTATTATTTACATCCATATCCATTATTTACAACTAATTTCTTCGTTCCATAAAATATTTGTTTCCTTTTATTTCCTTTAGTTCTTTGTTTAACTCTACAAGCTTTAACCGTTTTAAAATATTAAAAATTGACATTTCAGTGATTACTTTTATTCTAAAGTGGTTTTAAACAATAGAAAATAAAATTCCTTTTTTTAGTATTTTTTCCAAACAGAAAAATAAGATTTTGGAAGGATTTTTTAGTTAAGATGAAAAAAAAAAAATGCAGTTGTTAAGGCAGGTTGTCATGGAAATTAAAATTTCTAGGGTTCAATAAATTTTAGTTTAATAAAGATCTATAGCTAATTTTTAAAAATGCTTTGTGATGGTAAATCTTTGATAAATTTTGCACAAAATAAGAAAATAATATTTTTTTCAAAGTTTTCATATTTCTGAGAGGTATTCCACCTTAAATAAGCAAGAAAATGAGGGGAAAATGGAAATTGGAATATCATTCCAAATATCAAGAATTAAAAGACAAACTTACATAAATTATGCAACGCTAAATTCATTTAAAAAGTTGGATATCATTTGCTCTTTTAAGCGGCGAATTTCATTAAACTTAAAGCGCATATTTAATTTTTCGTTTAAATAAAGCGAGGGAAAACTTTTGATGTTTTTTGTTTTGTCTATTAGTTAAATTTATCGTCACGTAATTTATGGAAGATCCCTTATAAGGTAAAAAAATAACAATTATAGTTTAAAAAAAAAAAAATTGTTAGAAAAACTAAATAAAAGTTACTTAAAAAAAAAGACTGCAGTAAGGAAAATAACGTGTCAGATAGTTAGACATACAAAAATCTCGAGTTGTTCTAATCTTAGAATATTCTAATGTTAGAATCTCTAAGTTGTTCTACAAAAAGAACATCTACTAAAAAGTGGAACTAATTTTTAGATAATCTAATGCATCTGTATCAAAAATTTTGTTTGGGGTCTTCAGGATTGACTTTTAAAGCATCAAAGTTAAGTATGCTATCATAGGCACTTTTTCACTCGTAAAAGAACATATTTTTTTTTTTAGTAATTTAGCACTTCTCAAAACCTTTACTTTTTAATATTTTATTTATACACATGGGAATTTTGTTTTTTTTTGGCGTAGAAACACACTATTTATTTTATATTATTATATTAATGAACATCTAGCTGAACAATTTCACTACGTCTTTTATTAAAAGTTAAAGACATTCGGTTACCCCGGTTTGTTTTTCTTAAATTATTAAAACGGGTTAACTCACTCTTGTTCGGGAAAGATTGAGTTCGCTTTTTGATATAAAAGTTATGCAACATGTTTCCATTTGTCTTGGTTGTTTCTAAAACGTCATTTCGTTTATTTTGCATTTGCGAGTAACTCTTTAAAGAAGTCATCGAACTATAAGCGAACCTTATGGCAGCTAAATCGGAATCACATTCAATTTGTTTGCTCATTTCTTTTTTTTCCTTCCATTTTTTGTAATACTTTTGAATAGTGTATGCAGCTTTGATTTCCTGAAACCTTATCATGGTTGTTGTTCTCGAAGTATATTTTAATCGATCAGGAAATGCATTTTCAAGAGTGCGGTCAACTGCATCACAAATACTCATAAAACTTTCCGAGTCACCTTCTAAACAAAAATCAAATCTCTTCTTTATAGCTGTTTTTATTTATTCCAAAAATATATATATATATTTTTAATAATATTTTAAATTAAATAATTTGATTATTCTAATTATTGTTTGTATATATTTAGAGAGTACCCGACGGGCATTTGTTTTTAAAAGTTATGTTCTAAATGTGTTTTAAACGTGTTTTAAACGTCTTTTAAACATTAATGTTTAAAAGACGTTTAAAAGACGTTTAAAAGACATTTAAAATACATTTAGATCGTAACTTTTAAAAACAAATGCCCGTCGGGTAATTTATACTGTTTTATTTTGGGGTTTTCTTAAACAATAATAACTTTAAAGTTTTCTTAATCATAATAAAAATATTTCTTTATTATTACTACTACTTACTTTTATTAATAAAATATACATAATAATATTAACATAATAATAATAATATACATAATAATATTAACGTATGAAGTGACCAGCGGTCAAGGTGCAATTTAAAAAAAAAGAGATGCATAAAAGTTGTAAAAATGGTGGTGAAGAGATCCAAGTGGTTTGAGTTTTCTCAAAATATTGATTTTTTTACTTGTGTAATAGAAATCAATAATAGAAAAAAAAAATAATAACAGTAAATGCCTGCGTTTAACCTCTAGCTTTACTTGAATACCGAATAATATTGAATACTTACTAATATCGAATACCTAACATTATGAAATATCTACTAACATTAAACAGCTAATAATAATGAATACCTAATAAAATTGGTTAAAAATGGCGTTCCTGATAAATTTAATTTGATGCAATTCTTTTAATACTAAGACATACCGGAATAAAAACAAAAACTACTAGCGGCTTCATAAAAAAAACAATTACTCGGTTTAGTTAAGGGGATTTACAAATTATTTAAATTCCTTTATTTGAAATCAGCAAAATTTTATCAGCGTATTACCCAGTGGGCACAGAACCAAAAAAAGACGTCTTTTGAACGTTCAAAAGACGTCAAAAACGTTCAAAAGACGTTCAAAAGACGTCCAAAACGTGTATAAGACGTTTAAAAGACGTCTTTTTTACGTCCGTGTCCACTGGGTATGTCCAAACAAGAGCTCTTATTATTTATTTTGCTTCAGGTTTTCATAATATTTAAAGAAATTTTCTTTTTTTAGTATAATTTTTATGACCTTTTTACTACCCCTAATAGTGAATCTAAACAACACCATTTTGGAGTCTTTAGATCACTTTCGCTCATCGGCGTTAACTTGAACTTAGTTAATATTTGAAAAAGTGCTTTAACCTACTATAGAACAATTCCACGACCATCTCACAATAAATAAAAAAATTAAAACAAGCCAATATACATAATGCTATATATCAATAGAAAGCCTTAAGTCTCCTTTTTCAGAAAATATATCGCTTCTTATAGTATGCCACTATTATAAAAAATAATATGTGCTGAAACAGAACGTAAAAACAGGCGTTTTTGCGATAATTTAATTCATTTTTAACCGCCAAAGTTCAATTGAACCTATAAAAAGTTCAAAAACTGTCTTGCTCATTTTATCCAGGTTTTTAGCTGCACTAATCATTGCTACTTATGATAAAAACATGTTTTTTGTTAGACGAATCCAGAAAACCATTTATTTTAATCAAATGTTATTACCACTATTGTCACGCTGTGACAGTTAGGGTACCAATAGTTTTATTTCTAGGACAACCAGTAAAACTTAGGATTTCAAATTCCAGCGCAATGAGAAATCTATCTAGTACATCTAAAAAAATTCTAACATGTTTAAAAAAATTACCTTGTTATTTTTAGAATCTTTTTGTCACGCCGTGACGTCACGGCGTGATAAAATTTAAAACAATATTTAAAATTGCTAAACTGAAACCACAATTGAGTTTTTATCAACTTTAATGGCCCAGATTATTGTGCGACATACTTTCTTTGACATTTTCTACAAAAGCTACAAAATATAGGTATGTTTTGCATAGGCAACACTTGGAGGATGAATGCTCAGCTATCTTTGAGGCTCTCTTTTGGTATTCATAGAGCCTTTCTAAGGGACAGTTGTAACTCCATTGAGCCTTAAATGTAATACGTGCATCTCCATGACTACTGTGTTGCTCTTAACTGTTTTTAATCTTTCAAGGGTTTAACATGCCTCTTACTCATGCTAAACGTCAAAAGAAATATCGTGAAAGGCAGTTAAAAAAATTTGGCGAAAAAGTAGTTAAAGAAAAAGAATCGAAAAGGAGAAAAGAAAAAAGACTTGCTAAATTGGAGGATTAACGAGAAAAAGAAAGGCTACGAAAGAGAAAGAGCAGACAAAAAGTAGCAGAATCAAAATCTGTAGTTGTTACATCACCCCCATACAAATATGCAAGCACTCTTGGAAAAGCTGTTAAGAAAGCCGAGTCAGCACTACCAAAATCACCCGAAAAAAGGACTAAAGTTGTACAAAAACTTTTAACAAAAATGAATGAAATCCCTAGCCCAGAAAAAATACTTAGTGAAAATGCATTAGATGTTTTAACTGTAAAATTGGTTCTTGATTTTTATCAGCGTGATGATATATCCCGTCAAGCACCAGGTAAAAGAGACACTATTGTGGTGAGACACCACATGTGCTTTTGTCTAGTTCAATGTCAAGAAACGTTTGTTGTTGTCAGCGACATCAAAATATAATCGTTATCCTTAAAGCCCTGCACAAGTTTGATTCAAATTTTCCATTGTATTCAAATGAATTTCCTCTAAGCATTGTATGTGATAGTGAAAAATATAGTCAAATACGTCAGAACCGATAGAACTAGAATCTATATAGATCCTAGTTCTATCGGTTCTGACGTATATTAACTATATATAGATGTCAAAATAGAATATATTTATCTATTTTCCCGAAAAATATTAGAATTTCGACCAAGAAAGACCTTATAATTATAAAAAATTGCCAAAAACGATCAGAACAGATCATATTATTAAATTATGTTTATTTCACATAAAAAACGTATTTATTTAAAATCTTATTGAAATTTGGACAAGCGGTTGTAATTTTAAGAAGATTAAAAAAAAAAAATTCTTCGGTCTGGGTTTTATCGCTACAAACAAATATATTTTATGATACCGCAAAATTTATCATTATAATTTTTTTCGTCTTATCCTAATTCACAGACCTGATCATTTAATGGAAATATGTCCTAGTCAGCAAAACATCATACAAACGCTATAATATTTTAAAATTGCCTTAACTACATCGAGTACTAGCTGTTATTAAAAAAAAAAAAAAAATTGATTTATTTATGAGTGAATCAAATTATGCAAATTATGAGTAAATTGACTATAGTCAACAAGTCAAAAAAAGATTTTAAATACCAAATTTGCGTTTTAACAAGCCTTGGAGCACATCAACACAATGTATTTTATCACCTTCTATAATTGGTAAATTCAGATTATGAACAGCAATTCTATTTGGAAATGGAATACCTAAGTAGAAAAAACAAAAACAAAAAAAATATAAAAAAACAAAATAACAACAGTATAAGATATAAAATAAAAATGTTTAACTAAAAATTCTTTATCAAGTCAAGAAAAGTGTCAAGTTAAAAAACAAAAAAGTAACAATTACCCTATATTATTACCTAAGTAACGATTACCCTATATTATTACCTTAGTAACGATTACTCTAAAAGCATAATTTACATATCAAATTTATATAATAAATTAATAAGTAGTAAAAAACTGAAGCATAAAACTATGGTTTTTATGCAGCTGAATTTTAACTTTTTAATTTTAAAATTATATAAAATAATAACTGTAAATATGAATACACGATCCTATGTTTCTGAAAAACTTTCCTTTTAATATTATTATATTATAGGGGTATATATTATAATACATACCAGTCTTCTCCGTTTGAAAAAGCGCTGGCAGGGTGGTCATTTTTAAATTAGCCTGCGCGATTTAAAAAATTCTTTTTTTCCTGTTATTTAAATTAAAATAAAATTAGCAAAAATAATGCTTTGAATAAATACTAAAATAATTTATAAATATCTGGTAAAAAAAAGCATTTTTTACTTAAAAGTTAAACAAATATTTAAAGTTAAACAAATGAACAAAAAAAAAGATTGTTGCAATTTAAAACAAAACGTTTTTATTTTTTTGGCAAGCGCTTTTTTATGCGCTCGCTTAAAAAAGCGCTTGTTTTCAAGTTTTTCCGGGCGTGTGAGAGAGAACGAAAAGACTTGAGCGCGAAAGCGTTAGCTAAACGGAGAAGACTATACGAACCCTTATTTATTTTGTATTTATTTGTTTAAGTCAATAGACATAAATAAGTAAATATTATAGTTTCATAAATAAATAAATAAATATAATAGATATATAATAAATACAATGAATAACATTATATAGGACAGATAGATTAGAAAAAAAATTATATTCTATTCTATTCTATATAAATTCTAACAAAATAAAATTATTAACAATAAAAAGTCATAAAATACTATGTACCTAAAGGAGATCCCAAGTTAGCAACAAGAAATGGTAGTTTTTGGAACTCAATATAGTTTGTATTTGACGGATCATAAAGCTGCCATACAGAATAAAACATCTCAATATCTTCATCTGTAATTCCAATATCATCATGTCGATGGACCTCATTGAAGTTTTCCAGAATGATAGCAATATACAAGTTTATAATAATCAAAAATGTAATAATGATAAACGATATTAAATAAATAACTGCCGCCCATGGAGTTCCACAATTTCCTTTAGAATAAAAAAATAAATATGGAAATAAAGTAAAAGTGGCAAAAGAGGAACAACTTTAATTTAATGAAGTATCATTAAAAATAGTAAAAACAAAAAACTAATTTATAGATTCAATTAAGACACTAATACTTAAACAACTTAAAAAAAAAAGTTGTAAACATACCATTTGGAAGACCATTGAAATTTTCATCACAATTTGGAGGTTGAACAACAAGTGCATCAAGAATTTCATTCCAACCAGCTGATGTTGCAAGGCGAAATAAAACCATAATACTGTTACCAAAGGTTTCAAAATTTACAACTTCAGATAATGCACCTGTAACAATAGTAATCATAATAATTTAGAACAAAATTTGTCTGAAACAAATTTGAAACCAATTACACTAGGAGAACAGTTAGTAAATGGTTCATCAGTTTTTTGTGTAAGTTTTTTGTATATGTTGTCATACAAGCTTGAGTTGCGGCTTATATAAAATAGTTTAAAAATAAGCATTTTTATGTAGAAATGTCTATTAATTTCATTTTATGAGATCAAGGAATTAATTTAGTTTAAAAAACATAAACATTATTTAAGCAAACATAATTTGAACAACTCAAAAACTACAGACTAATAATAAACTAATAAGCAAATAATAAACTAATAAGAAAATAATAAACTAATAAGCAAAAGAAATTTAGAAAGTGCATTTGGCAATTTCAAATAGCAATAGAAAGGGACCATTAAATTTAAAATCAATTTTTTACAGACGGCATGTTGTTTCCCAATATCAGGCTGCATGTAAATTTAAAACTGTTTAGTGGCATATAAGAGCAACTCTACAAAACAAAACAAACAGTTTCATATAAAGAAAAAGATTTTCTAACCAGAAAACAGACAGCCTAATTGAAACCTTTGTGTCAATACTAAAACTTGTCAATTCCAAATTTTTAAAATTTTGTTCCAAAATTGGATCTAAGACAACAAGACATTTTAAGAATTACAAAAATAAAATGCAAATATAAACTGAAATAATGAATTTTAAAAGAAGAACTTTATGTCATCATATCACTTGTTTCTTTCCAATTTTTTTTTTTTTTTGCAAAGATAATTTGTCACCATTCAAGTTTTTACTTAATTGCAATATTTGTCTTAACTTAATCTCACAATTTACATTATACTAATGAGGTAATTGCATAATCAGATGCCAATATATTTAAATTAAGTGCTAAAATAGAAAAAGTCTCCAAATGTTTTAAAAAACACAACCAATTATGTACAATTGATATTTTTAAAAACAAGCGAAATGAGTTAATTGCCCAAAAAAGGCTTCTACATCTCTGCAGTAGTATTGAGTACTGCTTGTATCGAATTGACAACCAACAGTCTCTTTTGCATAAATGGTATGCAAAAGAGACTTGAACTTTTTTTAGAAGATTTGCATTTGATTTAACATTTATAAAACAAAAATGTCTATATATATACTTGATATAAATTTTTTGCTTTTTGAGTTATTGAATTTATTCAGATTTTATTCTTAAAATATTTGTCGTCTAATTTTTTCTAAATTTTCTCAATTACTAAATCTAATCTAAAAAAATCTAGAAAGTTTACAGTCACATACTACTGCTTGTAGAAGCATGCAAGCAAGGAAGATTCAATATCTTGTACTGCCTACTTAGATACACATAAAACATTTTCTATAAAAAAAAGGCAGCTTTTTTAAATTAACAATCAAAAAAAAGACAATTTTTTTTTTTGTCTTTTTCACAATTTTTTTTTTGGATTAAAAAAAAAGTGCAAAATTACCAACATGCAGACTTAAATTATATATATATATATATATATATATATATATATATATATATATATATATATATATATATATATATATATATATATGTATATATATATATATATACATATAGTCTTGTATGGCAGTCACAAAGTTTTTCTTTGTGACTGCCATACAAGACTATATATATATATATATATATATATATATATATATATATATATATATATATATATATATATATATATATATATATATATATATATATATATATATATATACTCATATAGTGTCGCTTTAAGAGCATTTTAATGTAAAAAAAGTCTCTTACGACTACAATTTTAATTACCTCGTCTCTTAAGCTGTTTTTGATTGTCATCGAAATGTCAAAGCAATTAATTTATGCGGAAGTACATTAAATTTAATTGTTTTTTAAAAAATTTTTAAAAAACCGCAATTATAACGACTAGAAAGTTTTTTTTAACTAGTGGTGTTTTTGTTATTGATTTAATAAAAAACATTTTTTAAACATGCGTAAATGTTGCTACATCGACTATCTTATAGCCTGACTCGCAACGGAGTGCTGCTACATCGACTGACTAATAGCCTGACTCGCAACGGAGTGCTGCTACATCGACTGACAAATAGCCTGACTCGCAACGGAGTGCTGCTACATCGACTGACAAATAGCCTGACTCGCAAGGGAATGCTGCTACATCGACTGACTAATAGCCTGACTCGCAACGGAGTGCTGCTACAACGACTGACAAATAGCCTGACTCGCAAGAGAGTGCTGCTACATCGACTGAGGGTTTGGTTTGGCCAGGCAGTCTATCAATTAAAAAAAAAAAAATTAATTTTTAAAACTTTTTCTGGTCTGGTTTATTAACGCGCTCTTTAAAACTACAGTTTATGGGAAATTTTTTTTGATGCCACGCAAGAGACATGCAAGAGTATATATATATATATATATATATATATATTGCGAGTCAGGCTATTTGTCAGTCGATGTAGCAGCACTCCCTTGCAAGTCAGGCTCTTTGTCAGTCGATGTATATATATATATATATATATATATATATATATATATATATATATATATACATATATTTATAATTTATTTAAGGTGTAACATGCGTTTTTACCTTGCTTTTTTACATGACCAAAAGTAGACATCCCAATAATAGAGTATATGAATAAAATAAGAAACAATAAAGCACCAATGTTTAAAAGAGCAGGTAATGAAACTATCAATGCTATCATTAATCTGCGAATTCCTTTTCCACTATTAAAATAACGAAGAAGACGACTAATTCGAAGAACACGAGCAAATCGAAAAATATTTGGCGAGGTTGATAAAGTGACTTCAAAATATTCTATTAATATACCTAAACATTAAAAAATTTTTATAAGTTTAGTTACAGTATTAAATAAAAAATAAAAATAATAGTTTAGAAATTAGTAACTCACCAATTACTGACAAAAAAACAACAACCAAATCAAATATATTCCAGCTATTTGAAAAATAATGACAACGCAACACTATGAGACGCAAAACCAGCTCAAGTGAAAAAATAGCTGTGAATATAAGATTAGTACGATTTAAGAATCGAGTGACCCAATCAGACTGATTATAATGATGAGTCATCATCAGAAGGATGTTGCAAACAACCATTATAATTATAATAGCTTCATATTTTGGACTTGTAATGATATCAAACAATTTAGAGAAATAACAGCCCTGTTTTTAAATTAGAAAAACTTCAATTATTAATATACCAATAGGTTAATAATAATATAAATAACAATAACTTATATTATTTTTCCTCGTATTTTGATGTACAGATAACATTTACAAATGTTTTAAATTAAAGGTGTAATATTTACAAGTTTAATGAGTCAAAATATATAATAAAATTTATAATTAAAATAGTACGGGAAACACTTCAAAAAGATCATAATGATTTTATCACAAAGGTGAAATATAATAAAAGAAGCATACAAGATATATATATATATATATATATATATATATATATATATATATATATATATATATATATATATATATATATATGCATATATATATGTGCATATGTAAATGTATCTATCTATCTATCTATCTATCTATCTATCTATATATATATATATATATATATATATATATATATATATATATATATATATATATATATATATATATATATATATATATATATATATATATATATATATATATATATATATATATATATATATATATATATATATATATACATACATATACATATATATACACACACACACACACACACATATATATATATATATCAGCTATACAGCTTGCATTTCACTTACAAAATGGTGATTTGCATTTGCGTTCAGCAGTTTTACGTTAAGCAAAAACTTTTTTATTTTGAAATATTTAAATTATCTTTTATTATTGTTTATGTGACGTTTCTTTTACATACAATATTTTACATAAAAAAATATACAAGAGTTCCTTTTCTTAGAATTAACTTTAACTGTGTTTCAGTTTTTTAAATTTAAAAATTTATATACATATATATATATATATATATATATATATATATATATATATATATATATATATATATATATATATATATATATATATATATATATATAATATATATATATATATATATATATATATATATATATATATATATATATATATATATATATATATATATATATATATATATATATATATATATATATATATATATATATATATATATATATATATATATATATATATATATTAATCAATTTGCATTAAAAAATAATAAAAAAACCTTTGGTCTCTGTAGTAATCTATTAGATTTTTTGGATAAAGCATTCTTCACAGATAAAAACCATTGCTTTTGTAGAGCTGATAGATTCACTTCAACCGTTTTACAACCATCAAACTAATAACAAATTTGAATTGTAAATATTTACACATTTAAAATAAATATAAATTCAAATTATAAACATTAATCATAAAATCAAAACTATATATATTAAAAAAAACTGTTAATAAAAAAAATCATAATATTTTAATTTAAATTAAAAAAATATTTACATACTTTTAATTTTTTTATTTACTCTTTATTATTTAACTTTTTGATATTTAATAAGTGTTCTTTGAATTATTTATTATTTTATAGTGATTTTAGCATGTTTCATAAAACATTTCACAAAAATAATTCTTATTTTGTTACCTGTTTTTTTAGTCGATAGAAGTTGTCAATAATGACAGATACAAATAAATTTAATATAAAGAAAGCTCCAAAAATGATGAAGACAACAAAATACATGTGTGCAAAGAAATTGTTGCCTGAAATTGGTTGCATATCCACCTAAGTTAATAAAATAAAGCATACAATTAATTAATACAATTAATTGTAAACAATACAATTAACTACTGATTCACATTAAAAAAAAAAAAAAATTAACAATAATTATGTTTCGAAACATACTTTGATTGAGTAAAAGAACTAAGGAAAAAAATTGTGATAAGGAAAAACAACTTATTGAAAAACTTTTATCTTTTAAAAATAAAAGTTTTTCATTAAGTTGTTTTTCTAAATAAAAATACTTTTTAATTAGTAAATAGAAACGTATTCCTAATTTTTAAGTGGATTTCAAATTGGCTAACTGGCTAACATTAACTCAGATATTACATTTGTAATAATTCTGAAGCCAGAAATAGGAACAAGCAAATGTAATGTTTATGTTAAACGCTTAATATGTATATTTGTATATACCAAATCTATATATGTCTCAAAGGTCAAACTATTTAACATTTGAATAATCCAATGTAATTCTATATTTGCATATTTTTATCTCTAATATAAATGAAGTAATTCATTCTTACTTTCTTCAACTATTTAGTAATTTTTTCTAATATGCTTTTTAAAAAAGTGTCTCATAATCCCTATAGTGGTTTAACTTTCCTTCATAGATTTTATGACAAGTATTACCTTGCTTGCATGAAACCTGATAAACATTCCTAAATATCCACTCAACCACAAGCAATTTGCATTGCAAGTGTTGCATCAAAAAGTTTTTTAGAAGTTTTGCAACAAACTTTCACAATAATTTCTTGTATTTGCAATAAACAATTTCAAAATTAAAATCCTTAGCAGAAGTGAGATGTATTTTAAGCTCAAATGCCTTCAATAAACATCTCTTCTTCATTTCTTTTAACTTCAGGGGTTCCTCAAGGTTCTATCCTTAGCTCTTTACTTTTTTAAATTTACATTAACAATCTCCCAGAAATTCTCGCATCTAAGGCTGATAATACCACCTTTTATTCTTGTATTAATAAGAAGGCAACACCCTCTGATTGCTTAGAGAGGGCATTTGAGCTTGAAATACATCTCACTTCTGCTACAGCATGGGGTTCTCAGTGACTGGCTAACATTAACTCAGATAACTTTAACTTTTCTGCTAATCCTTATTGCAAAAATCTAAATCTTCCTATATTTATGAACAGTAATGTACTGATGAGTCATCTACCCTTCATCTTCTAGGATAAAGTCTTACGATCTTTCTTGGAAACCATATATCAAATCCATTGCAAAATTAGTATCTTGTGTAAAATTCATTCTTGTGTAACTCATTATTCAATTAAGTCTCATTTATTCAATTAAATCTCTATTCTACCCTTCCACCCTCCATTTCCCATATGATAAGCTCAATATTATACATCTTTTTTTTCTCTCACTAAATTGTTGAACTATAGCAAATAGCATAAAAATAAAATTAAGATGTTGAGGTAGTTTTCAACAATTCTTGCTTGCAGCTATATTGAGAGTAATCATAAAAAAAAAAGTTCAATCAGCATGTTTACAAATGCTGTAAACAAATTTAAACTTATTTTTAATGCTAAAACATTTTAATCAACTCTTTACATATATAGCTCAATTACATAAAAAGGATATGACACATAGGTATGTACTTATGAATACTTAATAAGTACTTATGAACTGTTATACTTATGTAAAAAATACATCCATATTTAAATCAATGAGTTATTACTCTGCTAAAGAACTATACTCAGTAAAAAAGCAAATTAAAACTTTCTGTATATATAAGTTTATTATTATTAAAAGATAAAAAAAAACCTCAGTTGCATCAACAGCATCTCTCATTATTTCAATCCATCCTTCAAAAACAGCTACTTGAAAGAGAGGCAAAAATCCATTAAGAGCATTATCAAAATTTGCATTAGAATTTTTCCATTGGAAGCCATGAGCTAAACACGTGGTTTTGTTTGGAATAATAGAAGCATCAATTCTTTCATTGTGCTCATTTATACATTTGTAAAACTTTCCACCGAATAGTTGAACACCAAGAATGCTGAATATTAACCAAAACAAAATACACACAAGAAATACATTTCCAATACTTGGAATTGCTGCCAGTAAACTGTTCACAACAATCTTATGAAATAAAAAAATTCTTGACAATGAATATGATAATTTATGATAACTATAAAACTATGATAGATATTTTATGTGCAAAATAAAATATTATTGTAATTAAATAAATTTATGTTGAAAAATTTAAATTTATGTTGAAAATACATTTCAAATATTTAAAACATTTCAAATATTTAAAATTATTCTTGAACAATTATTGGACAAATTATTAATAATAAAATATTTCGTCTATTTTAAACAAAATTTGTCTTTTTCATAAAAGACTCAACTTTTAGAGTGTTTTAAAATTTCTTTTTTAATAAAATTTATTTTTTGATTTTTAAATTTATTATTTGAGAAAAAAAACTATTTTTGAACAAAAAAAATGATTTGGTAAAAATAACATTAAATTTTTAACTTTAGCTTCCAGGCTTTGACAAAAGAAAAAAAAAGACTGAATAATTGCTTTTTTAAAAAATACAGTGACATAACACCGCTTAAAAAAGAATAGCAAATGCATTAGGTTAGGATGTTTAAACATTTGCATAATTTAGAATTTTTCATACTTTCATTATTAAACCTTATTTTTCTCCTATTTAAACATTTTACTGTTAATAAATGAATATGGAATATGGCTAATATTTCCTGGTGTAGTGGTAAAGCACTCACTTCATAAGCAAGTGGTTCCAAGTTCAATTTCCACCACGCCCCTGGTAGTACTGCGCTCAACTTGTTTCTCAGCGCAGCAGCTTTGTTTGTCAAAGTTCATGTTTTGGAGTTATAGAGTTGATAGAGAGTTAAAACCACCTTTAAGTAAACTCCTTGTCTGTAGTGGCCTTCTCGGCCTTGGGGAGGTAAATAAAAAAATAAATAAATAAAAAAAAACATCTTTAAAAAATAAAAAATTATGTCATAAATAACATAATTTTTTTTACTAATATTATTTTTCAAATTTTAGAATACTTAACATTTTTTTTTCAAATTTATTTAGGTGCCTTAAGTTGTTACAGCCTTATCACAGAGCACTACAAATTAGCTATTAATTGGAAGTTCACGCCTCCTTCCTAACCAATATTGCAAAACTTGCCTAGAGGTGGGGTTTGAACCATGGATCTTTTTTTTCTGAGGCAAGTGCCTTACCACTGCTTCATGGTTGCTCTACCACTGCACAATGGCTACTCCAATGTAACCCAATGTAAAATACGATTTAAAAAAAAGACTTTCTACTTGTTAAAATTTCTTGTTATTTAAAAAATTGAATGAATTAAATATAAAGAGCCAATATAAAAAAATTATAATTAAATATAAAGAGTCAATATAAAAAAATTAGGTATAAGCAATACATCAGCACCAAAGTTACTTATATTATAAATAATTAGGATTAAAATTTTTCTATAAATATGTCCTAAATATACATTTAACATAAAAAGTATTGTACAATTAAAAAAAAAAAAAATTAATACAATTAAAAAAAAAAAAAAGTATGAACAAGTTATAAGAAATAAAGAAAGCAAAAAATATCTATTACTACAAAAAAAAGATATGTATTTTTTACACCCTACCTGCAACCAAAAGTATCATAAATAACACAAAAAAATATATGAATACATTTTAAACACAAAATTTTTGTTTGGGTGTATATTAGGGTGTGTCATACTTTAGTCAAAACTCAAAAACTCATATTTACCAGTGGCATTTTTTAAAAAAGGGTAAGGTTTAACATATGAAATTCAGAAATATCAAAAAATTTGAATTTATATGAGTTTAAGCTACTAGGGAACTGCCTTGAAAATTGCCGAAAAGTGTGAATTTTTGATATTTTTATACTTTCAGGGTCATTTTCAATATTTTAGACTTATATCTGTTTTACAACAACCTTATCTTAAGAAATTAGGAATAAGGAAAGGAAGATAAGAAAGCAGGATAAGTAAAATTCATTTAATAGTTATACTGTTTCAGAAATTTTTATGAATACTTAAAAATTATTATTTTTTCAAATTTTGTGGCGTTAATTTACATCTCTTCCCCCCTATTTTTATTTTTGATTATGATAGAAAATTTTATGCTGATTAAGAATCGTAGAAAAACATAGCTCTGAAAATTGAAGCAAAGTACTCTAATTTGATCTTGAAGTTTAAAAATTACACTAAAAACGCTATTATTCACCATCTTTTTTGTACTCTGTTATGATTAAAATTCATTCAAAAGTAAACTTTGAAAATAACATAAACAACCTGGTTTTTATTGTCAACAAAAAACGAAACTGTTTTTTAGTAGCTACTGATTTAGAGATAGGCAAGGGCTTCAAGGAAGAATAATGATATAAATTGATACCTGCCCCAACCCTGACCCTTCAATGTGTTATCAACTCTCTTGCGAGTTCTCCCTAAATCAGTCGATGTATGTACTGAAGCCCTCGCCTATCCCTAAATCAGTAACTAAGGGTAAGAGGGCAAAAGTTAACAAACAGAATTTTACGCCACTATTCTGCAACATTACGTTTAAAAGTTTAATTAATTTTTTAAATATAAAGAATAATTTATGTAAAAAAAAAAAGTTTATTTTTTAATTATAATTAATAATTGTATTTTTTTTTAAACTATGTAAATTTTAGTATCAATGAAAATAAAAACCGGGTTGCGTAATTAAAAATAATATTTATAAAAAAGTTTTTAGTTGCATTTAAAAAAGATAACGAATATTAGCGTTTTTTGTGTAATAAATAAACTTCAAGATCTAATTAGAGTACTTTGCTTTAGTTTTCAGAGCTATGTTTTTATACGATTCTTAATCAGCATAAAGTTCTCATAATCAAACATAAAAATAGGGGGTAGAGATGTAAATTAGTGCCAGTTTTGTATGTAATTTAAGTTATACATTTTAATTGATGGTTCTAAATGGCTACACAGAAAACATCATTCTAAAGTTTTTTGTTTTAATATTTGTTATGCAAGTTATATATATGTATATATATATATATATATATATATATATATATATATATATATATATATATATATATATATATATATATATATATATATATATATATATATATATATATATATATATATATATATATATAATTTTCAAAATTACTAGATACAAAGTATAATTAAATTTAAAATAGCTGCTGGAACAAGATGGAGAAATGATTCTTGTCTACGCCAATATTTGGGATCTGGAAAAGAGTTGCCAACAGCTGAACTGCCAACACTGAGAGATGTCCTAAGATATGGTATTTTTTAAAGAGAAACAAGCAAACTAAACAGAAGAAACTATAGTAATTCTGATTTGATCCAGGATATTTATAATAAATTTTCAGAAAAATGGCAAATGGCCAGTGTTTTATTTGTGCCTCCCGTAATTAGTTTAAAAAATAATTTGGTAACAAGACTTAAAGTTGCATGGAACAAAGCTAACCTGATTTCTCAAAATAGAGCAAGTAAATTTATAAAACAAAAATTTAATTTAATTATTGACAAACTATTTGATTTGGTGGAGTGTAACTGTAAAATATCTCTTTGTTCTGAGCAATGCTGTTCTACTGACTGTAAAGTTGGTGCCCACATTACCTGCATATGTCCTAGGGAGAGAAAAATACCAATAAATGAACTGGTTTATGTAAAAGGTATGAGTGAATATATGAAAGTCACTTTAAAAGTTTTAGTAAAGCAGAAAACCAAATTTTATTATACTATACTGATTTCTTTGATTATTTAAAAAAAAAAATTATTTTAATTTGTCTGGTTGTAAGCAAATTGTTGTCACATTTTTTTAGCCCAACGAGAAAAGATTGGATCATTAAGTTCATATCAACTTGGGCCTGCTGATTTGATGGAGTCCAAAAAGTTCAAAAAAGTACAAAGTTGCAAACGAAGAAGAGAAGAAGAAAAACAAATGAGAGAAAAAAAAACACACTAATCAAAAGGAAAATAATACGCAATATGAACAAGATAACGAATATGAAAATTATAAAGAGAAATCTAATGAAAATGAGATTTTTTCTAATCAAAAGCCTTTAATATTTAAAAAAATCTAGAAATTATGAAGATATCTCTAATATTGCATTGGCCAGTATTCAATATGGTGTTGGTTTAAGAGCAACTGCAGGACTTGTATCCCAAAGTGACACTAGATTAATAATAGATCACAGTAAAGTTCGGAGAGCTAGGGATAAAGTCATGAATGAAGTTGCTGTTCAGTTTGATGATTATTGTAATAAAGAGATTATTGACTGCATATTTTTTTATGGGCGAAAAGATCTTACTAAAGTATTTTTAACTGTAGATGGATCAGACAGACAGTATCCGGCTAAAGTAAAAGAAGAACATTACACTGTTTGTTCTGGTGATGGTAAGTATTTATTTCATTTCACTCCAGCTAAAGAAGCAAAAAAGAACCATGCTGAAATTATAGCAGATAAGATTATTGAGTATACTGCAATGAGAAACATTAGTACACACTTAAAAGCAATTGGCGGAGTCTCTACCAATGTAAACACTGGTTGGGATGGAGGAGTAATGCACTTTATGGAGCTGAAATTAGGGCGAAAGTTAAATTGGATTGTCTGCGCTCTACATACCAATGAATTACCACTCAAACGTTTAATTAAATTGTTAGACGGAGAATCTAAAAGCGGTACAAAATGGAGTGGACCCATTGGAAGCTTACTTGATGAAGCAACCAATCTTGAAATTAACCCTTTTTTTAGTAGAGTGGAAACTGGTGAGCCTCTAATTAACTTGAGTAATGATGTGGTTAAAGACCTTTCAACAGATCAGTATTATGGCTATCAAATAGTTAAAGCTATACGCAGTGGTCATGTTCCTCAGCAACTAGGACTTCTGGAAATTGGCCCTGTTAACATGGCCAGATGGCTAACAACAGCCAATAGAATATGTAGAATTAGGATCTCATCATGGTCTTCAAGGCGATGCAGCCCAAAACTTTCCTAAACTAGTCGAGTTTATTGTAGGAGTGTACTTTCCTGTCTGGTTTAACATCAAAGTTAAATATAGTTGGACAGAAGGACCAAAACATGTTCTTTACTAGCTTAAGTTGCTTCAGCACCAGTCACTCGATATTCAAAATATGGTCATTCCAACTATTAAGCGATCTGCTTGGTATGCCTTCTCTGAATCTATTCTTCAAACTATGCTTTGTTCTGAAATTAAAGAGGAGAGAGATTTCAGTGTAAACAAAATTCTTAAAATAAGAGGAGAAGGTGATGAAAATGTACAACTTGGAGATCTATTTGTTAGACGAAGAAGGACACCAGATATCAATACTAAAGCAATTTGTCTCAAGGACCTTATTAATTGGAATGAAGCTTTTGAACCACCTTTGACAAGTTTCAAAGAGTATTTTTTTCTGCCGAAAAATGTGTATAAAAAGTTACCCAGGCTTGCGAAAATGTTTTTACAGAAGATAGAAGAGATGGTTGGATTAAAGGACAAGAGTTGTCACAGAAGTTGATGTAACGAAATCTATCTAAACAAAACCTTATTGGCTTGACAATGTTTAAGAATTAATCTTTATTGTACTTGATGTTTTGTAGATCTATATGAAAGTTTTATTTTTAATTCCAAAACAACCTAATTTTACAGTTTTAGTGGGAAGTAGTGGGAGGGGGGCAAACCACTCTAGTTGTTTTTATACAAATAATTATATTTTTTTTTAAATAGAAATGACGTTTTTTTGCGTTTTGTAAGTTTTTTTAAAAAATACTTCATTTTTTTAAGTTCATACCTCCCCCTCCCCCTGGGTTTTTGGTAAAATAGTGTCACTGGTTCCCTGGTAGCTAAAACTTTTTTTTTTTTTTTTTGTTGAAGGTTCTAAACTTGTAATATTATACCTCAACCTTTTTTAAATTATGCGAGTCAAAATTCAAAAAAAAAAAAAGTATGACACACCCTAGTGTATATATATATATATATATATATATATATATATATATATATATATATATATATATACATATATATATATATACATATATATATACATATATATATACATATATATATATATATATATATATATATATATATATATATATATATATATATATATATATATATATATATATATATATATGTATGTATGTATGTATGTATTATATATATATATATATATATATATATATATATATATATATATATATATATATATATATATGTATGTATATATATATTTATACATTCTTTTTTCAGCTTTTTTTGATTTTTCCTGACTTTAGCAAACCACCTGCCTTGAGGAGGCAAACAACATTTAAAAATAAATAAATTAATAGATACATAAAAACTCCATTAATTTTTACTTTAATTCCTTTCCAATGAGATATGGCTCTCAATGGTCTCAAAGCTCTCAAAGTTCTCAATGAGCGAATAGCATTTACATTTGTGATAATTCTAGCATACTCATTTAAAACACTAGCCAGGGATACCTGAAAATAAATAAATTTGTATTTCATGTTTACATATACAATACAATATACTATAGAACTTATACTCATATGGTGAGTATATAACCATACATGTGTAGGTATGTGTATACATACATACACATACATACATACATACATACATACATACATACATACATACATACATACATACATACATACATACATACGTACATACATACATACACACAAACATACATACATACATACACACATACATACATACACACATACATACATACATACATACATACATACATACATACATACATACATACATACATGCATCCATACTTACATACATACATACACATATATACATTCATATATACATAGAAGCATGATCATGCAACTTACAATAGCATTGGCAGTTTCAAAACTATTCCATGGATTTCTTAAAAATTTGACAAAACCTAATGCAAATATTTTCAAAAAAAACTCAACCAAAAATAGAATTGCAAATACTGTATTACACTTTTCCAGCATTTTGCTTAAAAGAGGTTTGCTTGAAAGCCTAATGTCATCAAATACCTAAATGAAATTATAAAGCTTTAAAAATACTGTTGAACCATACATGTAATACAAGGAAGCTATTTCATTTATGGCTAAGAAAAAAACATACCAACACAAAACTGCTAGCAGCAATCAGAATTAACACAAAGTTGTTAAACCATTTGTGTTTTACAAACTTCTTCACTTTCTTTCGTAAATTTGTAATTTTTTTAAAAATAGTTTTAATTCCACCACTATTTTTCAAACAAAACACAAAAAAGCCGCAAAAAAGTACACTTTTCTTTTTCAAATTTATGTTGCTGGTCTTCAGTGGCAATTCTTCTTTGTTGTAAGTCTTTAATGGCTGACATTCTTTATGAGGATCATGAGGATCACCATTTTTACACGAAGAGTCTGTAGAAAAACTTCGACTAATTTTTTTATTTGAATAAAGAAATTGCGGTTTCAGTTTAAAATTGTCTTGCAATAAATTAATCCAATTTCTCTCCGAAGTACTTTTTGTTATTTGATTAAATTTTTCTTTGTTTGACAATGTTTCTAGTTTTTCAGAGATGCTATCAATCTATTTGAAAACTTCTAATGTAAGATTTTGGAAAAACCTTACTACCTAAATATAATTTAAAAAATAAGAAACCATACCCTGAAAACATCATTTTCTTGTGATTCAAAATTCTCTTGATTAGCAGTCACTTAAAAATAATTAGAATATAAAAAAAATTAAATAATTAAAATAAATAACAAATAATTAATAATAGTAATTATCAAGATAACAAGCAATGCAAAAAACCAATAAAAATAAACCTTCTAAAATGCTCTCATGTTTTTTAAAAGCCCTTCGTACAGAATTAACTTTTTTTACAGCTGTCACCCAATTTAGTCTTGCTTTTCTTTTTTTTAAGTTTTCTTCCATAACACGTACAGCAAAAGAGTTCAAAAGCAGAGCAACAAACAAGTTCAACACCTGTAATCACACATCATAAATACTCAAAAATATTGAAAACTTAAAAAAGACTATGAGTCTTAAATCAAATTTTATGCAAGAAAAAAAACATAACAATAAATATAATATATTATACAATAACAAATTATTTAAATCAGGGATGCAGAGTCCCAAAAGGACTCCGGATTTGAATGTCACAAAAAGATTACTTCTTTCTAGTTTTTGGTATCCAGGAACTCTAATAATATTAAAAATGCTAATGGACTATTATTGGTAAAAAATATTATGATTTTGGTTAGAGGAAAAAGGTATAATGGCCGCAAGGGCTCTAGGACTTTAGGATTCCGGGCTTAAAAACAATATGTTTCAAATCATTAAATTTCATGAATTTTTTTTATATAGCAGATCATAAGTCAACCAACATGTTCAGAGTTTCTGGACACCAGAGACTAGGAAAAAACAGTGATATTAGGCCAGAGTCCATTTGGGACTCCACATCTCTGATTAAAAAATATATTACTTAATATTTATTTTAATATACTGAAATTAACAAAACCTTAATTAATAATACAATGTATAAACAGTAAATGAAATAAAAATTATAAATAAGTAACAAATAATAACAATCTAGGTTGAAAATCATAAAACAATATAGATTTGATTTAGAAAAAAAAAACCAGGTTCATTATTTTTATTTAATAGACCGGAATCAAAAATCTCTTTAGAATTCATTTAATTCTAAAGATTCCTTCAGAAAAATATATTGTTTACTTCTACAAAAAAAAAAAAAATCATTTGAAAATATATGTATATATATATATATATATATACACACACATATATATATATATATATATATATATATATATATATATATATATATATATATATATATATATATATATATATATATATATATATATATATATATATATATAATACAAAATGATAAAAAAGTTTTACCATTTAGATACAAAATTATAAAACTTTTGATACAAAATAATACAAATTTATATGATAATAATTTAAAATCTGGTCATAAAACTGAACTGATCTTAATTTAGGGCAGGTGAGGATCTTTAGCCATGGTAAAGGCCTAACTTACCTATAAAAAAAGGAATTTAAATGGTATTATGGAAACTTGTTCAAACCACACAAGTGTGGAACCACGGACCTTAAAAATATAAAAAAAAAGTACTGAGTTTGAAAAACACAATACTTTTGCTATCTGGTACAGAAATTGAACACATAAAAAAACACAAAAAAACAGACAATGAAAGCTGAGCTCTATAAGTTGAATGTAAAATATAAACTTTGTAGAAAAATATTTTTTAAAAAATTACAGATTACATTTCTAATTTTATACTAAAAATATTAAAAGTAAACAATAAATGGTGAAAATAAAACAATTTATCTGTGTTTTAGTCAATATATTATTACTGAAACATATTTCTATACATCTTGTGTGCCTTTTGTAATCATACAATGCACCAAATAAAATTGGTGCATTGGTGATTACCATTGGTGAATAAACAAACATTAAGATGCATAAATGAAAAACTATTTTTAATAAAACTATACTATGCAAAAATATAAAATAATATATAAATTTCATAAGTTTTTATATTTGTCGCGAGTCACCAAAATATGCAAAGTCATTGAGATCATGTCAAGATTACTTTTAAACTGTCAACAAAATCTTTTTTTTTTTGTCTAATAAAGTCTTTAATTAATTTAATAACTTAAAGTCTAAATTAACTTTTTAACAAAATTACTTTTAAAAAATCTATTAGAAAAACAATTTTTTCTTTCAAAAATTAAAAATGTAAATTTACTCTACAAAGATTGTCTTTTGCTTTGCACAACTTTATTTAGTAGTCATCAACTGCTGATAATCACATGATTAACTCAGTTATATCAGTGTTTTCCATTGGTCAACTCAGTTATATTCTGTCAGTTATTTTAGTTAAATTAGTAGTTTTCTATTTGTTAATTTTTTTTTTTACTTTTATCAATATCATGAAGTTTTAAATCCAGAAACTTTTATTCATTATCTAATACATGATATGTTTATTTTTTAGAACAATTGAGAAATCAACTTTTTAAACCATTAAATTTTATTTCTGGATATCACTGGTATCTATAAATTGTCTGAATATCCCAAGCATATATAAACCACTCACTTATTTACATTGAATGCAAACATAAAAATTAATTGTATGTTGACTCAAACAGCATTTCACTTGTTTGCAATATTCCAAAAAGTTCCAAAATAAAATTTCATTATAAAAATCTGCATTATAAAAAAAGGTTAACAATTTTTTTTATGATAAAAAAAATAAACCTTAAAATAACTTTATAACAGTAAAATTAAATATTTTTTATTTTTAAACACCTATAAACTATTACTAAGAATAATATATATATATATAGTTTATGATTAAAGCATGATTCACAATTCATTTTAATTGTGAATGGTTAAAATATGATTGAAAATTTAGACGAAATATTACTGCTGGTTATTTATTTTTTATAATTGTTTTATTAATTATTTTATTACCATCATTATTATTCATTAATGTTTCATCAGGATAAGTTTATCGGTTAAAAAACAGTTACTTTCCACAAACCATTAAATATACACCAAAAAATTATATAACAAATACTGTAAAAAAAGCAAAGTTAAAAAAAAACAATAAATATTAAAATCAGAAGTTAATTTGAAAAACATATACCAAAAAATTTCCAACAAAAAGTACAATCAGAAAGAATGGTATAGACCATGTGCCAGCCACAAGCATGGTATCATGAAGAGGTTCTATCCATTCACCACACAAGACTCTGAAAATCATCATAAAAGAATGATAAAAATCAATGAAATTCCATACAGGAATCTAAACAAAAGTTATAAAAAGCTTTGTAGATACAAAATTATTCAAAATTGATACTTAAAATATATATATAAAAAACAAAAATAAATATAAAAAGAAAAATTAACAAACAAAAAATAACTTTATTGATTTGTATTTATAGATATTTTTTTATATACTTTCACACACAACACTAACTTGTTCTTAATTTTCTTTTAGAATATTTTCAGTGTTGTATGCAATATATATAAAAAATATATATCATTAACAAAAATTATATTACACTAAAAACATTTTTATATTTCAAAACCTAATTATATTACAAAAGAACCTAATTATGTTACAAAAAAAATTAATCAAGTTTAAGGCATATCTACATATGTCCTAAATTTGATTAACTACTGTTTCTCAATAATTAATCATACTGGAGTGCAAATACAGAAAAATACTGCAGTGTGAAGAATAAAATGAAAAAATATTTTAAAAGAAAAACATTTAAAACAAAAAATAAATAAAATAGATAAAAAAATAAAATAGTGACTAAAACAACTCTTATCTTTGTATTTTTCATATTTTAGTTCCCCAGTTTAAATTTTAATAAAGGCAAGCATAACTTTATGCACTAAAACTAGGTATTCTAAAATAACTTATCCGATGAGAGTAGTTGTATCAACTATTGGCACAACTTGTTATGGAATTTTGAATTACTTGGTTAAAAGAATACAACCGATCTTAAATGAAAATCCTATTAAGTTAAAAAATTCAAAAGACTTTATTAACAAAACTCGTGGTTAATTGACAAGGATGAAATACAGGTATCCTTTGATATCGTAAACTTATACCCATCAATATCATTAAAATAAGCAACTTTAATACTTTTGGATCAATTAAATAAAAGTGTTTCTTACAAAAACTCAACTAAACATACTTTAACTGAAACAAAACAACTAATTGAACTTTGTTTGTTTCGTTGTTATTTCTTATGCAATGGTGAGATTTATGAGTTGGAGAATTCAGGCCCAATTGGATTGTTATTTATGGTTGTTTTGGATGAATCTTTTTTACAATACCATGAGAAAAAGGCAATAAAAATGGCAACAACAATGATTCCTTCAATTGATATTAAATCCTTTCATAGATATGTAGACGATAGCCATGCAAGGTTTTCTAACTTAAAGCAAGCGAAACAGTTCTAAACAATTCTTAGCAGGCAACATCCTTCTTTAAAAAATACTATTGAGGTTGAAAACAAAAATAAGATACTAAACTTTTTGGATATAACTGTTGTTAATAATACACAAGGAAAATATGAGTTCAAGGTTTACAGAAAAGATGCAATAACCAATATCCAAATCAAACCTCATTTTAATCGCAATCCCAAAATTTTAAAAGTAATATTCAACGGATACATACGCAGAGCATACTCAATATGCAGCAAAAACCATTTAAAAGATGAGATAAATTTTTTCATTCAAGTGTTTACTGAAAATGGATACGATGAAAAAATGCTTAAAAATATTTCTTATCAGGTTCGAAAAAAACGCTTTGCAAACAAAAATGAAATTTTATCAAACTCTAATAACCTTTCTACAATCTCTCTACCATGGATACCAATAATATCTCCCAGACTTAGAAGAATATTCAGAAAAGCTGGTTACAGAACTGTTTTTAAATCAAATGCTAACCTAAAAACGCTGTTAAAGTCTAAAAATAAATCAAAATTACCATGCAACAGCACCCCTTGAACCTATTTAATTAAGTGCAAATGCTCCAAAGTGTATGTTGGTGAAATAAAATTTCAAATATAAACAAGAGTTTAACAACACCAAAATTTTTTGACTAAAGGCAAGTTAAACCAGTCTGCATTAGCTTTGCATAAAGTAAATTGTAATGAGGATATTGCATGGAATAAAGTAATAACACTTAAAGTTGATGATAAAAAATTTGAAAGTAAAGTCTGTGAGGCCTTGGAGATACAAAAACATCAATGTTCTCCAACATACGGTGGTATAAATTTGGACAATGGACAATATTTAAAAACTAATTTTTGGACTTCACTTTCTTCATACTTAAGTAAAAGAAGCCATTATAAAGGTGACATCAAAAATTAAAAATTTTTGTTGTCACCTTTATAATGAAATATATATATATATATATATATTATATATATATATATATATATATATATATATATATATATATATATATATATATTTATATAAGCTGACTGAGATTCTTTCTGTGATTTTATTCATTATGGCCCTTGGATAAAAATCTTTTGTATTCCTGCTCACAATCTCCTTATTATGTAACTTCTTGGATTCAGGCTGGCATGGAATCTTTTATTCCCTCTCAATAGTCCCAACGCAAGCCTCACTCTTCCTATGGTTTTCCTCTCATTGAGCTGCTACAATTTCCAATTGTAACCATTACTTTCATATCTATCACCAAAACAATTCTCCAAAAAACAGTATGGCTAGAAACCATTGTCAAAAAGTTTTATTTTTATTTTTTTAGCCAAAGCCCGTTATTCTTAGGTCTCGAAATCTCTTATTTCCTTTTAAAATTATAGCTCCTTAGACTTCTGAATAATCTTTAACAGTGTCTATAATAAGGGTAAATCTATTATTCCACCTCTCTTGTTACATCATCTAAAGTCAAAGCTGAATTGTTTGATAAGAACTTTTTATCAATTTCATCTTTTGATTCCCTTGATCACATCCTTTGTGATATAACCAACAAACAGGTAAATTTATTGCTTAAAATTCATTTCACTTCAGCTTCTGTATCTTAAGCAATTTACTGGTTAGACTCTTCTTCTTCTTCCGCTTAGACAACATACCTGTTATAATCTTGCAGGTCTCATCTATACTTTCAAAACTATTTAAAAAATGCTTATCAGTCTTGTTTTCCAGCCTTCTGTAAAGCGACATCTGTTATCCCTATTTTTAAAAATTCTGGATAGCAATCTGACTCGTCTAAGTACTGTTTCATTGTCTTCTTCTTATCATAAGCAAGGTTTTAGAGTCTTTAATTAACAAACACTTAATCGCTCATCTTGAATCTAAGAACTTACTTTTTGATCATTGATGGAATTCAATCTTTTTATTCTACTGCTGATTTGATAATGTAATAACCAATAGGTTTTATTGTGAAGTAGATAGATGAGGAGATGTTAAAAGCTTACTATCTGTCCAACAACATCTGTAGAGTAGTCCAAGATGATCTATACACTACTATCCAAGATCATCTGTATTTTTCTTTTACTCTAACAATATCTATCCAATATCATCTGGAAATTCTGTGACCCCTAACAACATCTTTAGGAAGATGTAACTTCATATAGTAATTTTTCTCAAAAAAAGTCAAATAACATTTGGAAGAATTTCCTCTAGATGTAATTACATCTGAAAAAAAACCTTATATATAACTAAATCTGATTAAAATAAATTATATTATTTTTTTCCAGATGTAACTACATCTAAAAAACCGTATCTGTAACTACATCATATGTCATTCAACCATATATGTAACTACAATAATTTTCTCTGAAAAAAATCCTGTAGTTATTTTTAATATAATTGAAAAGATGTAACTAAACCTGCAGAATTCACAGATGTAGTTGTACAGATGCAGTTATTTTTAACATATTTGAAAAGATGTAACTACATCTGTAAAATCTCCAGATGTAGTTGCACAGATGATATTTACAGATGTTGTTGGACAGATGGACATTTCCATTTCTGTGCGTGATTTTTTCTTTTTCTTTATTTTAGGAATTAAAAGCTGGGATTTAATGTGATATGCATACTACTATGATTTTCTTAAACTATATTTATAACAAAAGTATTTTTATCATATTTTAGGCTACCTGAATAAATTAAATAAATATTTTTTTTACATTTTTTTTTTTTTTGCGTAATAATATTGCTACAGCTTGAAAATATACAATAATTTTCATAACGCTATACTGTAGCTAGAAATAATTGATGAATGCTATTTCTCATCAGAAATAGATTAAATATGAATCCTAGAAGTATAATATTTCACTTGAAATAACAACAAGCATCATGTTTTCTTAAAAATATCTACAGGAAATTGACAAATTTGCAACTTCTGTGCATGACTTCCATATATGATCATTCATGAATTGACTCTATGATACATAGTGAAACCCTGTAACTTTCTGGAAAAGTTTATTAATGTATAAAATATTATTTAAAATATATATATATAGTGATGAAACTTATATTTTCAGAAAAATTAAAATTTATTTATCAAATAACTAAAATTTGAGTTTTTCTGTTCTCTGCATGGTTCCGCTTCAAACTGAATTTATTATTTGTAAACATTACTAATGTATACTATTTTTTGTTTACAAAATATTTATATAGTTTAAAATTAAATGAGAGTAAATTGTATATCGCCAGTTTTATTCACACACAGAAACTCGTAGTTGTTTTAAACAAAACAAATACGAGTTTCTGTGTGTGATTTTTTGGAATGCCCAGATGTTATTATTATTATTTTTTTTAATTATCTTCGCTTCCAACAAGGCTGCAAGCAACCACTAATTAGTGTTGGAAATTACTGGAAGAGAAAAGATGAAGATTGTAGAGCAAGATAACAATTGACAGACGACTTAAAAGATTGCAAATTATATAAATCAGGAAAGCAAGATGAAGGAAACGAATTCTAAAGAACTGATGTTCAAGGAAAAAAACTAGACGAATAAGAGTTTTTGGAGCACTTAGGAACAGTAACAGAAAAAGGATGAGACTTAATTGAATGACGAGTAACACAAGAATGAATTTTAGTAGATGGCACAAGAGACGCTAGCTCTTTAGAGCAGTGTATCATCATCAGTACATTGTATCATCAGCGAACAATGCCATCTTAGATGTGAGAATATCTGGAAGATCGTTAATGTAAATTAAAAAGAGTATAGGGTCAAGGATTGAACCTTGGGGAACCCCTGAGGTTACAGAATAAGAAGAAGAGTGCTGTCCATCAAGGACAACTTTTATACTACGATTGGAAAGAAAGGATTCAATAATCTTAAAGATGTTTCCAGATACACCATAAGAAGAAAGCTTATGAAGGAGACCAGCATGCCAAACTTTATCAAACTCTTTAGTAATGTCAAGAGCAATGGACTTAATCTCTCCACCTTTATCTAATGCGCAATAAAACCTATCGGTTATTACTGATAGCAAATCAGCTGTAGAACGTGAAGATTGAAATCCATATTGATGATCAGAAAGTAGGTTATGAGATTCGAGATTTAAGTGTTTGTTAATTAAAGATTCAAAAACCTTGCTTATGATAGAAAGAAGACTAATAGGACGGTAGTTAGATAAATCAGATCGCTCTCCAGAATTTTTAAAAATAGGGATAACAGATGCTGCTTTCCAGCAGGCTGGAAAACAAGACTCTGATAAGCACTTGTTGAATAGTTTTGAAAGGATAAACGACAGCTCAGGAGAACATTTCTGCAAGACTATAACAGGTATGTTGTCCAGGCCCCCAGCTGTAGAAGAGTCTAAGCAGGAAATCACTTTAGATACAGAAGCTGGAGTGATACGAATGTCGTGCAATGGATCAACCTGTTTGACGGCAATATCAGGTAGAACGCAACTAGTGGCATCAAGAGATGATATTGATGAAAAGTTCTTGGCAAACAATTCAGCTTTGTCTTTAGGTGAGGTGACAAAGTCTGAACCATACAAAAGAGGTGGAATTAGAGACTTGCCCTTATTATTGATACTATTAAAGATTCTCCAGAAGTCACGAGAGCCTAATTTTTGTGATGAAATACAAGATTTCATGATCTGAGAATAGCAGGCTTTGGCGTTAGACAAAACCTTTTTACAATGGTTCCTAGCAGTAATAAACAGACGCCTGTTTTCTGGAGAATTGTTTTGCTGATAGATATGGAAGTAATGGTTTCGATTGGCAATTGCAGCAGCACAATGTGAGGAAAACTATGGAGAAGAGTGAGGCTTGACCTGGAATCGTTGAGAGGGAATAAAGGATTCCATGCCAGCTTGAATCCACGAAGTTATGTAAGAAGCACATTTGTCAACAGGGAGACGAAAAATTTCTACCCAGGGGCCATCACGAAGAAAATCACGGAAAGAGTCCCAGTCAGCCTTAAGGTAGTTGTAAAATATACGATGATAGGGGAATTCTGATGGTAAAGAAGAATGAGATAATAGTTTTAGAGAGACCAAACCATGATCAGACGCACCTAAGGGTGAGTGTGAAGAAACTGAGCACTGACTAGGATCAGAAACAAGACATAAGTCGAGTAGAGAAGGTAAATGATTCGAGTTGTCTGGAAAGCGAGTTGGAAAGTTGACTATTTGAGTTAGTGATTGAGAAAGACAAAAGTTGTGGGCCTTAATGCCTGCAGAGTCACTGACACTAGAGCCAAGCCATTCGGTGTGATGAACATTAATGTCATCGACAACAACAATATTGGCTGATGGATAAAGAATGAGGGCTTGGTCAATATAATCAAAAATAACATCAAGAAGAGTGCAGTCTTAAAATGAGGGAGAGCGATATAGAACAAAGAGAAAGGTGATAGAGTGAAGTGGTGCTAAATGAAAGCTTATAAAAGAGTAGTCTGTGGATTCAAACCTAGTTTCTCGACAAATGGGTGAATTCTTACAAATGTAAATGCCCAGGCCAAGCATGTGACTATTGGAGTCTTTAGGAATTAAAGGAAGATAACCATCAACACTAAGATCACAAGATGAGACAGCAGATTAATAGATTAGACAAGATTAGACACAGCAAAAAATGATGTTGTTACCCTGTTGTTACCTATTAATATAATATTATTACCTATTAATGTTGTTACCTATTAAAAGATTAGACAAGATTAGACATAACAAAAAATGATGTTGTTACCCTGACTGAAGGAGAGGTTAGGGTTATCGCTCTCAACATTTCTATTGACTTTGATTAAGTTTGTCATGCTGGTCTTCTCCATAAGCTCTCTTCTTAAGGTGATTAGGTAACATCTTTAAGATTAATGAATCTTTCCTAACCAATTGTAGTATAAAAGTTGTCCTCTTGGACAAAATGAAGAATGGATAGCACTCTTATTTTCTGTAACTTCAGGGGTTTCTCAAGGTTCTATCTTTGGCCCTATACTTTTTTTTATTTACATTACCAATCTTCCAGAAGTTCTCACATCTAAGGTGGTATTGTTTGCTGATGATACTACCATTTATTATTTTCTTAATAAGAAGCCAACACTCTCTGATTGCTTGAAGGGGACATTTAGGCATGAAAAGAATTTCACTTCTGCTACAGCATGGGGCTTTCAGTGGCTGGTGAACTTTAACTCAGATAAAGCTCAATTTTTGTGGCTAATTGTTATTGCTATAATCTAGATCTTCCTATATTTATGAACGGTTATGTACTCGATGAGTCATCTACCCTTTGTCTTCTTTGATTAACTCAATTTTATCTGGAAACCATAAACTAAATCCAAAACTAGCATTTGCTAAAGTTTTATCTCTTTATTGTGCTTGCCACTTTCTTACTCTAGATTCTATTCTTGTTATATGCCTTTGCATGGAATACTGTTGCCATATCTGAAGCAGATCTTTGAATGATGCTCATAGTTGGAACTGCTCTTGCAACTAAATTTCAACAATTGTCACATTGTTGTAATGTTGCTTCTCTTTCTCTTTTCTATAAATACTATAATGGGCGCTGCTCTAAAGAGTGCTCTTGTGCCATCTACTAAAATTCATTCTTGTGTTACTTATCATCAAAGCTTTTCCAGTCAGGTATAATTTCAATATCTCAATGTAACTTCATTGCAAAGCATTTTGGGATGTCCTGCCGGACCTCAGAATTTTATAATATTAAATAGCAAATAGTTCTTTTTTGTTTTCCTAAAGACACAAAAAGGCAAATTAGTTCTTATATTATATAAAATACCTTTTTCTTTAATAAAAAGTTTATAAAATTATTATTGTAGTATCTTAAAACATATTTTTTTATTGTTTAATTTTTAGATGTAAACAACTGTCATAGTGGTCATCAACTGTCATAGGAAAAACATAGGGTCATCAACTGTCATAGGAAAAATTAGGAGAAAAAAGATTTTGCCAAAAATTCTTACTTACTTAAACAAGTTTGACATTAAAAATCCATACAAAATGTGATGAGTAAATTTTAAACAAATTTTAAATTTATCCAGGAAATAATCAACACCTATACAATAGACACCAGCAATTTCTGGAAATTTATCACTTCAAGCTGGAGTAATTACCTTATAAAAAAATAGGAATTTTGGCGAAAAAAGTAACTTTTAAAGTTGAGTAGAAGCTATCTTATTTAAAAATAAGCATTAAAATTCCAACTTAAAAGATTTCTTATAAGTCGCTATTTTTATTGGATATATTGGGGTGTTCACTCTGCTAGATAAACTGAAAGAACTAGAAAGGACTGTTTTAAAAGGAATACTAAAAAAACTAAAATATTCATTTTTTGTGCATAATTAATTCAATGATTATAAAAAATACATTTTCCAGATAATCAACTGTGTTTTTTTAAAATAGTTTTATACATTTTTTTAAGTTTGTTTTGAGTTGACACCCTGTTTATTGTGACATCCGGCCTTAAAAAATGTAAACAAACCAAAAAGTAAAGTATCAAATTGTAGATTGAACCTTGCAAAAGCGTTTTACTGTTATTTTTAAGGAGTTATAAAATCTTTAATATATATTAACTATATTATCAAACTTAATTTATTACAATAATAAAAATATGCCACCTGTAAAAAGAACTAGACGGTGAAATTTATATGGTGGTAGCCCTTCTGATCTTCCTATTACAGATCTAGCAACTTATGGTGATGTTGCAAGATTTTTCTACAAATTAAGAGATTTAGATGGTATTAAAGACAAAAATATTATTATTCAAAGAACGCTTTGTAGTTTAAAAGAAATATGGTTCAATTGCAATTCCAAATTAGTTTTGTTACCTGAAAAAAGTTTGATTGTTAAACTTTTAAGATTTTATAATAATGTTATTTTTTGGAATGGAAATAAAATTAAACCTTTGACCAAAAAATTGTTGGAAAAAAATAAAGAAAATTTTTTTGATCTGCTAGCATGTAACTGCAAGCTTGAAGTTCTTCTTTGTGATGACAGGAATATCAAATGCTCAGGTTGTTCAAATGTGCATCTTTACTGTAGTTGTGTTGGTAGTAAAAAAGTAAGTTATACAAATTTAAAGTAATTTATTTTAAATTAAACTTTAAATAACTTATTTAATTTTATTGATAAACTTTTTTATATATATATATATATTTTTAATATTTTTAGATAATAATACGTTTTAAACAAATTAATTGAAAACAATATTTAAAAGCAGAAATAATTATTTTGGTTCCATTGGAAGAGTGCTCCTATATAAAAGACCAAAGGGAGAATTTATCACCTACCTCAAGAAAAACAAAGCAAACAAAAGCTTCTGATGAAGAAATTTATATTAAAGAGTTTGATACAATCATGGATTCAGATCAGGTAATAAACTATGACCTGTAAAGTTTGATTGTATGATAAAAACTATATATATTCTTAAATTTCTTATTTCTTTTAAATATAATGCTCTAAAGTTAATTAGAGCATCTTAAATGTTAATACAATTAAATGTAAAATTTTCATTGTTATGATTTTTAATTTCTGGAAGTTTTGATGTATTTTTTTCTATAATTACAGAGTGAAACTTCAATTTCATCATTAAATCAGACTAGATCAAAGAACTATAACACTACCCACTATCCCAAATTTGCTTTAGAGGTAACTAGATATGGAATATCAGATGAAGCAGCTGCCGCTGTAGCTAATGCTCTACTTCAAGATATTGGTTAACTACATCTAAATGATGTAATTGATCCAAGTAAAATGAAGAGAGAGAAAGAACGAGTATGCTTTAATGCTAGTTTTGAGCAATCTAAAGTTTCAAATATAAAGGCAATTAGTTTGGATAGCAAATGTAATAAAAACTCATTGGTTTATGAACAAAGAGATATTGACGGTGAAATAAATCTTTGTAAATCTACCAACACTGTAGACCACTTGACATTCACAATGGAATCAGGTAAAGGCCAATGTTATCTCTTTTGTCTCTGTATTTTTTTTTATTTAATTTTTTACTAATAAAAATGTTTTAATTTGAATAAGACGAGTTGCAAGGTCAATATCTAAAGCACACAGATGTACCTAAAGAAAAAGGTAAAGGAAAAGATCTTGCAGAATTTACCTGTAATGTTCTCAAGGAGTTTAAGAGTGATAAAAGTATCCAGGCAATAATTTTGGACAATACAAGTATTAATACAAGTATATTTTTTCTTCAAAAATGCGGGTCTGAAAAATAAAAAAAGATAATACATAAATCTTTATTTGAGTTATATATTTTCATATTACTATATCATTTTAGGTAAAGATAATGGTTTAGTTGCTTGTCTTGAAAGAATATTGGAAAGAAGAATTCATTTAATTCGCTGTCTTCTACATGTTAACGAGTTACCATTGCGTCATTTAATTTCTAAACTTGATGGTTCTTCTAATAGCTCAAAAAATTATTTGGGTAATCTAAATAATAATATTATTTTACATTCTTGTTTTTCATTCATTTTTAAACTTTTTTTTTTTTTGCTATGAAAATCGATCCACCCTATTTTACATTCTTGGTGATAATATTATTATTTAGATTACCCGATTATTATTTAGCAACATTATTAAAATTTATAGAAATTCTGTTTTTTACTTGAGAGTTTTATTGCTGCTTTACTTTATTCTGATAAGCATAAATATAAATTATTATTTTGAGTAAAAAGTTATAACTATTAATATTAATATACTTGATCAAATAATAATAATAATAATAATAATAATAATAATAATAATAATAATAATAATAATAATATTTTAAAGGACCAGTTGGAAAATCTTTGACAAATCCATTTAAATTTAACTGTTGACTTTATACAAGTTGAGACAGACATTGAATATCCTCCTCTGTGTGTCATTAAAGACCTCTCTGCTGACCAAAGAATGCTACTGGAATATAGTATTGGAATTTCTGTGTTGTTTTGTAAATCATTTGTTCCTAATATTTTTCCTTTTATTTTGTTTGTTTGAAGTTTATGTAAATATATATTTATTAATATATAATTTACTATTCAATTATACTATTAATTAATTTTTATATATAAAAGATTATATTTTTAGGCCCTACTTGTCATGCAAGGTGGCTGACAACAGCAGTACGGATCTTGGCACTATACACAAGAACAATCAATCCCAGTAGAGAGCTCAAAATCTTTGTTGAATATATTCAAACAGTATATACTCCTATGTGGTTTAATATTAAAAAGTCTAAGAGTTTCACAGAGGGTCCTAAACTTATTTTTCAATTTATTCAGCGGATTTTGAGGTTGGTTACTAAAGTTCAAAATATTACATTGCCCATAATTTATAGAAACTCTTTTTGTCTCCAACCTGAAAATTTTATTGCTGCTCTACTTTATTCTGAAGAACAGGTTTATAGAACAATTGCTGTTGTTAAGATTTTGGAAACAAGAAAAACCCTAACTAAGGATCCTAAAAATGGATTAAAAGATAGTATTAGGGTTAATGCCATTCCAATTATTGATTGTAGATGTAAAAACTGGTCAAAATTAATAAATCTGTATAATATAGACTGTTTTGAGCCCCCTTGTGTGGAAGATATATCAAATGAGGAGTTTTTGAATATGATACCGAATCAGGGAAAGGCTCCCATTCGATCCGTGCCATTCGCAAACGGTTGAAAGAGCAGTGAAAATGACTTCTGATGCTAGCGGAAAATTTATTAACCTCAAGAAAAGAAATGCTTATATTCTAGCTAAATGCCAAAGTCAAAAGAAACGAAAATATTTTAGAGCAAAGAAAGAATATACATTGTAATTTGTTATCATTTCTTTAAATTAATCTATTTGGTAATATGTTTGTTTATTATTATTATTAGTTTGGTTCAGCAGTAAAAGTATAATATATTTAATAGTAGTCAAAAGGAAAATAATAAAACCTTTTTTTTGGGTGAGTGGGGGGGGGGGGGGGGGGAATCATTAACACCTGCCCCGCCATCTAGTCACCACCCGTAAAAATAGTTTATTTCTTTTGATTCTGTATATTATAGTAAATCCTAATAAAAAGTGCTGCAACAACATAACATTGTTATGTTTAAATCCGTTTTTCAGTTAATGGCTAATGATTATTGAAAACCGCTTATTGTTTTAGTTATTTTTTCAATACCATAAAAACAACGTTAAAAATTTAAGTTAAAATTATTTATACAACTTATCCTTATAAACAATACATTCACAAAAGTTTTTGTGCGTTAACGTTTCAAATATTTATTGTGTGACCTCTTAAAGTTTTTACTTTTTAATGATAAATATAAGACCAAATAAGATAGAACCGGAAATACCTGAAGCTTTTATATTTTGCCCATAATGTTTTTATGGTATAAAGAAGGTACTCCAGCTTGAAGTAATTGCAATTTCGAAAAAAAGTTAAAAATTACTGGTGTCTATTAAACAAGTTATTTTTTTAAAAATTTGAAATCAGTAAACGAGTCAATAAAAGGAAACGCTGGGCAGTTCGTAACAAAGTTTTGGCTTTGCAAATTCTGTTTCATAGTCTTCAAATTTTTAATGTCTTGCGAACAATATTCTGTTTACCAAGTCAACTTGTTTATTATTATTTTTTAGCCATGTATTTTAAGATCTTCAAGAAGAGTTTTCTACTCACATGCTTTTTCTAGTTTTGTGCTGATGCAATGAACCCGCTTGATTATAACCTTAGTCTTGTTATGGATGAGGTGTCATTAAAGGAGCATTTAGAGTATGATAGAAATTCAAGCAGAGTTTACGCTATAAAAAATGGAAAAATTTCTAATCAGGCTCTTGTAGTTATGGTTAGGGGCTTGACAAATAAATGGAAACAACCATAAGCGTATTTTAATAATAGTTCTACAGTATCAACAGCTGACTTGGCTTTTTTACTTTATGAAACCATTTCTAAGGTTCAAGAAACTGGTTTACACATTTGATGTGTAGTTTGTAATTAAGGATCTACTAATATAGCTGCGTTACGTTTTCTTGGGTTTTTTTAAAAATTCACCATTATTTCCTAATTTTTCCAATCATAAAAGTATTCATGTTAATTTTGATCCTCCGCATTCAGTAAAAAGTATCAGAAACAATTTACGAAGACATAACATTGACATTAATGGTGAAATAGTTTTCTGGCAACACATCCAGTCTCTGTACAATTTAGACAAAATAAACTCTGGGCGTTTAGTGCCAAAACTAACAGATAGACACTTAGACCCTGGTCCTCTTTTATCTATGAAGGTCAAACTTACCATTCAAGTTTTTAGTTATCAGGTTGCTTTTACATTATATTGCTGCTCTAATACAAATTTACTTCCTTTAAGTGTATTACCAACAGCAAGATTTGTTGAACGCACGGGTACTTTATTCGATATATATTGAATTCATATAAATTATATGCAGATAAACCAGCTCGTTGTGGTCTAGCTTTAAAAGGAGCCAGTATTTCTCAGTTGAAAGAGTTCAAGTATTGGATTGAGAAATGAAAATTTTGTAATGTTAGAAGTCGAGCAAGTATATCATGTTATTGGGGTTTAAGTGTCACAATTTTTGTCACACAAGTGTCACAAAAGTAAAAATTTATTATTGATTCTAGCAATACTCTAACCTTAAGTAGAGAGCTTAAATAGAAACAATTTCAAAATCATTTTATATGTTTACTTGAAAAATTGTAATGCAACCAAAGGATCAAGCCCTTTTACATATGGATGGCTTATTCAATAAGTTACGTTATGCCATATGTACTATTTCTTAGTTCAATTGACAATCCATCATGTCACTAGTTTGTGAAATGGAAACAACTTTTATGAAATTTATTAATAAGTATCTTGAAGAAATGGACTGGCTTTGATTCTTATCAATTAAATTAAAAAAAAAAGTCATTTTCAGTTTTTGTGCAATTAAAATAAAGAACCTGTGCTTTATTTGGAAAAATCTTTTTTCTACTTTTTGTTGTTACAAGAATTTTTTATTTCATAGACTTTTTAAACAGACACATAAAGCCACGCAATAAGTCAAGTGCCATAAAAATTGCACGTATTCTTTATAATTAATATATTATGATACTGTTTTTTCAATTTATTTTTTTTAAATACGATGTGCTAATAATTTTAAAAAAAGTTTTTATGCTTTTTGTTATTACAAGAATTGTAAATAAAATTTTTAAACAAGAACATAAACCCACCCAATAAGTCAAATTGCAATTTTACAAATATTGTACATATTGCTTATTGATATACTATGATATTATTTTTTCGATTTATTTCGTTGTAATAACATACTTTGATGTTCTAATAAAATTAAACTATTTTTATGTTATACAAAACTTTATCTGTTCTACAAGACATTTTTTACCTAATTAAAACCTTCTTATGGTCAGCAAAATTGATGCAACTTAATCTTACAAAATTGATCTTAAATAAAAAATTGAGATATTTAGCAAAGAAATTATTTAAAAAAAAAAACTAGTTGTGGAAAAAGGCTGGCAGGACATCCCGGAATGCAATTTTGATCAATTAAAAGGAGTTTGGAAAAGTGGATAAGCTTTTCTTGTCATTCAATTAGGTCTCATCCTTTTGCTGTGATTGTTCCTAAGTGCTCCAAAAATTCTTATTATTCTAGCTTTTTTTCTCAAACATCAGTTCTTTAGAACTTGCTCCCATCATTTTGTTTTCCCGATTTATATAATTTGCAATCTTTTAAGTCGTCTGTCATATCATTATATTTATAAACATCATCTTTTCTCTTCCAGTAGCTTCCGTTTCTGATAAACTTTGCTTGCAGCCTTGTTGAAAGTGAAGATGTCAAGTTTATGTTTTTTTTAAAAAAAAAATTGTTTTAAAGACCGGAAAAAGTTAAAAAATCTATTTTTTAAAGTTATTTTTTTATTTATTTGATAGACAGCCTGCTCAAACCAAACCCTCAGTCAATATAGTGGCACTTAGTTGTAGCAGCAGGCAATAAGATAGTTGATTTAGCATCACTCCCTTGTAGTAACAAGTTGCAAGATTTTAGCAACACTCCCTTGAAGCAGCAGGCTTTACACATTCGAATTGGAAGGTGAAAACAAAAGATAAAATGTTTAAGACATCAAATAACCAATAATCGCAAAGATAATTATGATTTTAGCACACATCGAAAAAAAGCAATAACAAATATTCAGGTTAAGCCCAATTCAAACCACGGTCCAAAAATCTCAGAAGGAATATTTAAAGGATTTATTCATAAAGCTTTATCAATTTGCTCTGAAAGATTTTTAAATAAAGAAATCGATTTCCTAATAAATGTGTTAGCTGAAAATGAATACGAAAAGAAAAAAATTAGTCTTATCTAACAACGAAGTAACCATGCTAACTATATCACTACCGTGGATCCCAATATTATCACCAAGACTTCGAAAGATCTTTAAGAAAGCAGGTTACAGGGCAGTCTTTAAATCTAGTTCAAATCTTAAATCTTTTCTAACTTCACGCAACAAAACAAAACTACCATCAAATACCTTTCACGGAGTATACCTAATAGAATGTGAGTGTGAACAAAAATACATTGGCAAAACAAAAATGAAAATAGCAACAAGAACAAAACAACACCAAAAAAATTGTTTTTGAAGAAAAATTGGAACAATCTACAATCGGGCATCATAAAATTAAATGTCCACGTAATATAAAATTGGATCAAGTAAAAACGTTAAAAGTAGAACCCAAAAAATTTGAAGGAAGAGTTTGAGAGGCAATCAAAATTCAGTTTAACATATGCGGACCTAAGAACGGAGGTATGAATTTAGATGATGATCAGTACGTAAAAACGCAATTCTGGACGCCATATTTTTCATACTTATGCAATTAAAGCCCAATTAAAGCGAATTTTAAAGAAGCCATTAAAAAGTGTAGTTACCGTTTGTTTGTAATTAAATTTAATTAATAATTTGTAGTTAAAGCTGGAGATATTAGTATCTATAATCTAGCAAAAATTTCTTAGATTAAATAAAAAAATTAGTATTGAGAGAATTCATATTTATTGATGTTCATATATTAAATTTATTCAACTCTCATACAAGATGTCCTCATTTAAAATGTATATATATGTGTGTATGTATATATATATAAATATATATATATATATATATATATAAATATATATATATATATATATATATATATATATATATATATATATATATATATATATATATACATACATAAACATATATATATATATATATATATACATACATATACATATATATATATACATATATATATATATATATATATATATATATATATATATATATATATATATATATATATATATATATATATATATATATATATATATATATATATATGTATATATATATATATATATATATATATATATATATATATATATATATATATGTATATATATATATATATATATATATATATATATATACATAATATATATATATATATATATATATATGTATACACATATATTTATATATACACACACACACACATATATATATATATATATATATATATATATATATATATATATATATATATATATATATATATATATATATATATATATATATATATATATATATATATATATATATATATATATATGTATATTTGTCAGTCGATGTATGTACTGAAGGTATTGGAACCAATACAAATGACCCTGTTGCATTAAGCCTTTTGCATATTTTATCTCCTGCATAACATGCTATCCAAACAATCATAACTACCAGAAAAAAACAGTAATATTATGATTTGTTTTTTGTCCATAGTGATTCAAACCTTCGATCTTACAAAAACTATAATTTCATTTTTCTTCTTTTTAAGACTCCCAATATCTCCTTTATATTTCTATTACTATTAATTTCTATAACCTCATACAAGTACTTTAAAGCTTACTTAATAATTATCTTTATCATCATCTAAAGGTAATTCTTGTTTTTCAACTTTTTCTTTTTCAATTCGCTATTAAGTCAAAATTTTTTTGTTGGATGTTCCTAAAAAAAGATTATTTTTAGACAAGATGTCAGTTTGTAAGTTTCCTGATAATTCTTTAAAGATTGCTTCCTAGTTGAAATCTCCAATAAAAAATAAAACATTGTGGTCAACCATAAACTGTAACCTACTACTATACTACTAACTATACTATACTACTGTAACTACTAACACAAACAAAAATTACATATAATGTTTACATAACATAGTCTTAAATTCAAACCTTTTTGTTAGGAAATACTTCAGGTTTATATTTATGGCCAAAACATTTTGTACCAATCACAGCAAACATGTATAAAACAATAAGCAATATTAACGTTATACTTCCGAGAGCTGTTAAACTTCTTGCAATAGTAGTAAAAAGTAGTCGCATTGTTTTCCATGATTTTGCAAGTTTGAAAATTCTAAACTTTAAATACAAGTTATTGTATTACCTTTATTGCTCTTTCTTTTTCTTTTTACTTTTTTTTTTTATTCTCTGCTAAAAAAAAAAAAAAAAATAATAAAAATATCTAGATACAAAATAAAAGTTACATCAAAAAACTTACAAGCCGCAAAGATCGAATAATGGTAAATCCAGTTTGTGTTGAAAATGAAGTCATTTCAAGTATAATTTCTATAATGCTGAGAACTACAACCAAACTATCCAATAAGTTCCACATTTGTTTTGCGTAATGTTTTAAATTAAGTGCTACAATTTTTAACAACATTTCTGCCATAAATATTGCAGTAAATAGCTAATAATAAATAAAACATAACAATAGAAAATATAAAAATAAACTTTAATAATATGAACTTTTATTTGACAAAAAAGATGTAGATAAATATTCATTTCAAATAAATTCATTAGAAAGTTTCAAAAACAAAATAATTAAAAATAAAAAAATGAAATTTAAATAGTCTATAATAGCAATTTTTAATTAATCAAATTATTAATTATTGTTTAAGTTACATAGTACTTACATAGCACTTACATAGTTAGCTATCCTCAAAGAGGTTTTTAGCTTTACTTGCATATTGTGTGTTTCCAATGCAAGGCAGACTGTATTCATTAAAATGGAAACTAGAATCACATTATCAAACAAAGAAGAAACAAGAAACTGATTAAGTTTTTTCCTAAATTTCCGAAGATAATAAAATGGAGAAGAAAATCTAATATAATATTCAGATGCCAGTGTTGATTGAGATGCTAATCTTTTCCTCATAGATGCTTGATGATTTCTTGATAAGTCATTCTTAGGATTTATACTTGATTCAAGATCGCTACAACTTGTTACAATTTTTCCATTAATTATAGTGTTTCGAGATTCAACTATAGTGTCTTTTTTATTTATGTTAGTTAACTCATATGTCATTCTCCTTTGTCTGAAGTTCAGAGATTCATCTTGCAGTGGTAATGCAAACGTGTTAGAATTTAGTTTCATGCATGAAAGATTTTTAATTCTATCAATAATAGAATTTTCAACAATAATTTTTGGAAGAACATATAAATCATCATAATAGGGTGATAAAACTTGATGTAAAAGACGAAACTGTGCACTCTAGGTAAAAAAAATTATTTAATAAATAAAATATATATATATATATATATATATATATATATTATTAAATATTCAATCAAATATAAATTATAATATGAATATAAAGAATAATAGTTAGGTGAACTATAATTAATTTATTAGTTTAATTACATTGCTATGTTGAAAATATAATTACAATCATATCTTATCATAATAATATTCACATATAATCATATTTTATCATAATAATCACATATAATCATATCTTATTGAAATAATAATCACATATAATCATATCGTATTGAAATAATAATCACATATAATCATATCTTATTAAAATAATAATCATATATAATCATATCTTATTAAAATAATAATCATATATTCATTAAATGAATTTTTATCCAACAGTATCGGTCTTTAAAAAACTATGTTATGTTAAAAGTAATTGCTAAATTTTTTTTTAAACTGTTTTCTAAAACTTTGTTTAAAGTTAAACATAGTTTCAGAAAAAATGTTAAGTTAAATCACTTGTTTTTTAAACTGGTTTAATATTATTATAAGCTAAACATGAAATTAGTCAGTTTATAACTGAATTTTATCTTCTTATGCATTCAATATGGATTCAATAAAAATAAATAGTGTAGTAACCTAATAACAATTCAAGTCTCAAAAACAAATTAAATTAGTGATCCAGAAGAGGTTTTGGATTATAAGCAATAAGTGCAGAGTTCAAATCCCACCATTATCAAACCAATGATATCATTTACTAAGATTAGTAATTTGTTTCTCTTCTCTCTTCAGCCACTATTAAAACTTGTTTTAAAGTCACATGTCTAAATTATATAGGGCTGCAAAATTGGGCAGTAAATTAGGAGGGCTGAAGCAACAACTTTAAAATACTATTTTTAAGTTGATATAAATACAAGTTTGCAAAAGTTAGAGTTACATAATTTTTTAATTAGCTACAAGATGCAATTTGTTAAGAATTTGTGTCCAATTCTAATGCTTATAACCTCCCTAAGATCTAAATTCAGATCTTAGGCAGAAAATTTAACTTAAAGATCAAAATTTGTGAGTTCCAGTAGTTAAATTAGAAAATAATGTGTTTAACTTTGTTTATTGCTTTAAATATTTTATCTGTATTTACAGTATCTTTTATGTCAAAAAATAGTTTTAAAGAAACTTACAAAATCAACAACACATGTAGTCTCATGTTGGTAAGAAAAAACCACAACAGCAAGGATTAGATTGATTAAAAAGAACGAACCAAAAAATATAATCACAAGAAAATAGAAAATATACCATGGACCTAATGCAGAAATAACCTAAAATTAAAAAAATATTTTATTTTTTGAAAAATCATTTTTTATAATCTTAAAAAACGCCTAATAGTTGACTTATAATTCAAGTAATAATAATATTAAATATAATACATAAATTAAGTATAATACATAATTTAAATAAATTAAGGTTATTATGAAAAATTCAATATAGTTAACTAATAAAAACTTTAATTTATTTAACCTTTATAACTGATGTGGCATATTACATACAAACTATTTTTAAAATGCCACCATTTAAATTCAAATATTATATTCTAAAATATATCAAATAGTCAAAACAAAGTAATATATCTGTAGAACAGGTTAGTGCTAAGAAAACTGACAAGTAAAAAAGAAAGAGTAAAAAGTATTTACAGAAAAAAAGTCTTTAATGTTATTTTTAAATAAAAAAAAGTTATATGACAAAAACTTTTATAAAACGCACTAATGTGGACACGGTGTGCTAAATTGGCTGCTAGGTTTTTGTTGTCACACTATAAAGTTCAATAATAATATTAGAATTATTAAACAAAAACAACTATAGTAATGTTAAGAACTAAATATTAAAAACTGGCACTAATTAAATCTATACATCTAAGAACATGAATATTCCATTAAAAAATAAATAGAAAATAATATAAAAATAATTTAGTACTTTTACAATTTTTATATTAAAAACTATTTTCTAAATGTTGCAATAGATTTATATATTACAAAGTTTCATAAACTTATACTACATAATGACCATTATCTTTACGATTGTTGGTTTTCATTATGCAAAATGATTAATAATAGCAAAAAACAACAACAACAAGAAAATTTTCTTGCAACTAACCACCCCACCTATTTGGGGGTCTGCGTAATTAGTTTTTCTGATACCCTTTGTTAAATGTGATTTTTACAATTTCTGTTTTAAAAAAACGTAATGAAAAAACAATTAACATAACCAACATAAAACATAACAATTAATTTAAAAGCTTTTACAATTATTGAAAAATGAAAAATAAAAAAAATGATAAAAAATGTAAAAAAAAAAATTATATAAAATGAAACTTATATAAAGTGCAAAATACCAGAGCAAAATGGTTTCTTTAGAAAAGGTTTTTGTAAATATATCAAATAAACTAGTTAATAAAACAAAAAAATTAAAAAATTAAATAAACTAAAACTGAAAAACAATAGAAACAGTAAAAAATAAAAAAAATTAAAAGAAAAAATATTCTTAATAAAAAAAAATATTCATGTTCTATAAATAAAGTTTTGTAGTTATTTTATAAAAAGCAATTAAATTTAACAAGTTTCCTTAACTACTTTATTGTTTTTCGCTTTTAGTATACATAATTTTGTCAATGAAAACAATTTAAGTGCCATATTTTACCAATCCAGTAAAGCACACTAGTGTGGTCTAACAGGTTTCCATAATTACTTTTTTTATTGACAGAATGACAATATGAAAGAATTAAAACAGTATTTTACAACCGAATTCCTTGCACTAACCTGTTTTTAGATCAAAACATTTTATTGTGATACTAGCATTAGACAAATTACCATCCAAGGTAAACAAGTTCCTCTAACCCTTACCAAAAAATAAAGGGGTTTTATATATGAGATTTCGTTTGCCTAAGTAAGATGCTTTTACTGTGACTAAAGTGCCTCACTTGCCCTCATATAGGATCAGTTCAACCCAGGTTGAAAAATTGTAACTATTGAAAATGTTAGTAACAATGTAAAATGCAAAATATAAATAACAAATATTTAAAGTTTATTTAAAGTTAATGCTTTAAAATAAAAACATACACCTATATAGACATCCTCCCAAAAATCACGATTTATAATTTGAAATGAAGTAAGTATTGCCCAACCAATGTTATCAAAACTTGTAAAACCATAGTTAGGGTTCGGTGCAGCATTTTGTTGACATGTAAAATTTTTTGGGCAATTTCTACAAAAGGTATATCAAAATATAATTAATATAACAAAAAATATAATTAACATAACAAAAAAGTATAATAAAACAGGATAAAAAAATATCAGAATAATAAACCAAGAACATAAGAAGAAGAAGAAAAAAAAAAGAAGAAGACCTAAAAACCCAAGATAACTGACATAAATTTGGTTCTTTGTTTTTGTACTGCTATACATTTTCTGTTTTTTGCGAATTTTTTTTTTGTAAATTTTGTAAACCTGTAATTTACTTTTTAGTTTTGTTTATTTTATTTTCAAGTTGTATTTCACCAAATTTCACCGAAATCTTTCTTGCTTGTTAAATAGTACTATTATGTGTTAAAATTTTATTATTTTTAAAAACTTTACAAAAAAGTCTATTAGATCTATAGTTTTTTATTTTATGAATAAGTTTGTATACATTACATAAAGTATATGCTATATATACATAAAACTACAATTTAAAAATTCATGAAACATGTCTTTAATTAAATCTTGTAAACACACACAAGAAGAAAATCTAGAAAACCAAACAAAGTTAACATAAAGGTTAAACTTAAAATTTAACAAAAAAAAGTTACAAAGTTAAAGGCAAACAAAATATAAGGTTTTAAGCCAAAGAAAACACAAAAATACAAAAACATTTCTAAAACTTTATTTCTTTGAAATTAAAATAGTTTTTTTTTTCAAAAATCTTTTTAAAAATCTTTTATATACCAATGAAAATCTTTTATATACCAATGAAAATCTTTTATATACCAATGAAAATCTTTTATATACCAATGAAAATCTTTTATATACCAATGAAAATCTTTTATATACCAATGAAAAACTTTTATATACTACTAAATTCACATGCTGCACAATCAGACTTAATACCATTATTTTGGCAATGATTAATTAATAATTTTTATTTAATGTCTATTTGATTTCTGAAATCTTTTTTTAACTTTTCCTATTAATCTTATTGACACAATTATTAATCTCTTTCACAGCATTATTTATCTCCTTCACAGCATTATTTATCTCCTTCACACCTTTACTTATCTCCTTTATTGGATTATTCATTACTTTCACACCATTATTTATCTCCATTACATCATTATTTACCTCCTTTATTAGATTACTTGTCTACTTCATGTAATCATTTATCTCCTTTATATAACTATTAATTTCTTCATTAAATTTTGAAAAAATAAATTTTTCAGCATTAACTTAAGATTTAACGTGAAATTTAATTTAACATAAAAATTGACAATTATAATTATATATTTTTTTTAACACAAAAATAAAATAAAATTAGTTGCATTTAACAACATGTGATTTTCTTAAACTCTAGGATATAAAAAAGAGGAGGTCACTCACTGTCAAAGAAGAGAAAAGCATGGTTAAAATGGTTAAGAAAGATCAACTTCTTGTTGGTACATGGTAGACATAGAATTTAAAATTTTATTTAAAAAGTTGTAAACAAAGCAACAAAATATGAAGATTGGCTTAGCAACCAATGATACAGAAATAGAAAAAAGGTTTAAAATAAAAGAATTACACAGAAATTTAGAATATTTAGAATGTCAAAAAAACTCTACTGTCAAAAAAATTTCAAAAGATTCAAAAAGAACTATGAATTGTAAAACAAAATTTTATGTGATAATCTTCATACCTGTGGTGCTCCCTCAACCTTTTGGAGGTAATGTGTAAAGAAAAATAAAAAAAAAGAGAAAATCCAGGTTATTGTAAACTTAAGTATTCATTTACAAGATTACACTGTAGGGAGAAAGTTTTTAGGTTTTAGGAACAGTGGAAACAACTCTCTTTTGTGTAAAAGTAATTTTAAAAATAATATCATTGGCTTGTATCAATTGTTATGATACCAACTACCATTAAGTAAGCAAATAATAAACACCTATATAAAAAACTGCAAAGTAAATCTTTTAAAGCAATGTTTTAAAAAAAAATAATGTTAAAAACTATTAGACAATAAATAACTTACAATGAACCGCTGTTATTGCCACAAATCTGAATGCCATTATGCCAGTTAGCTTTTTAGAAGAAAAAAATGTATTATAATATTGATTACCTTATGTATTATAAATAGTGAATTATTTTGAAAGAAAAGTAAAAATAGTTTCTAAAATATAAAAAAATATTAAAAAAAAAAATTTACATGAGTTTTGAATCTGCATAAGCCAAGATTCAGAACTGTTGTAAACTATTGCATTCAAAACACATTTTTGACGAAAAACTCCAGCAAAAAGTTGCAATCCAAAGAGCGCAAAAATACAGACAAAAAATGTTGTTAAAATGATTACACTTGACATCATCGCCATGGCATTCAGTAGCGCATTCACCATAGTTTTTAATCCTCAATTATAACAATAAAATCATTTGCAACAATCATTGCATTAATCATTGTAAAACAAAAAAATACCATTAACATCATGAAATAATCATCATAATTAATATCATTAATATCATTTGGATAATTAAAAAAATAATAGCAATGATAATTAAATATTACTTTCATAATTAAAAAAAGTTGTTCTGTAAAAAAAAATTAAAAACCTTCTATTGAAGAAATTGTTCGAAGAGCTCTGAGTACTCGAAATATACTTATACCAGACAAGTTTGCCACTCCTGGTAACAATGTTATGTAACTAAAAAAATTGTAACTAATTTTTAAATAAATGTTTGAATTTACATATTTTAGATTAATTTATGATTATTCAGTCTTAGTTTATTACTGTTTAAGCATGAAATTTTATTTATTTATTTTTTGTGTGTGATGATGTGTTTTTATGTTAATATATTTTTAAAGTATGTATGCTGACTTTTGATGTACGTTTACTATTGTTAAACATGAACCCTGCCTAATTTACTTTATTTTTTCAATAGTTAAGTTTTTTTTTATCTTATGTTTCTTATCTTTGGTTTCTTATTAAACTAAGACATACCTTAATGCATATCTCATTAACTTTAATTTTTTTTTTGTTATTTAGGTGTCTCAGGAAGACCTAACAGATTACTATATTATCTTGTCACAGATTACTGCGGAAGTGCATTTAAACAGGAAGTTCACATCTCCTTCCTTACCGTGATGCGAAAATATGTCCAAAGCTCATTTCAAACCTGGAAAAACTGCTTATGAAGCAAGCGCTCTAACCACTACGTCACAGCCATACAATTTAATTGTTTGAAACACATATATAAATATTTGCCTATATACATATATATATATATATATATATATATATATATATATATATATATATATATATATATATATATTATATATATATATATATATATATATATATATATATATATATATATATATGGGCAAAAATATGAAAATATATGCTAACCCAATAAATTCTATTTTTAACTATTTAAGAATGCTTTTAAGCCAAAAAATGATTAAAAAAATCATTTTATCATACAATAGCATTGTTTTAAACAATTTTTTGACGTTTTTATATAGTTTTGTTGTGAAACGTTAAAAAAGGTTAATGTGCAGCATTTTATATATAAAGGTTAATGTGCTGCATTATATATATATATATATATATATATATATATATATATATATATATATATATATATATATATATATATATATATATATATATATATATATATATATATGCTTCTCTTTCTCTTTTCTACAAATAATATAATGAGCACTGCTCTAAAGAGCTAGCATCTCTTGTGCCATCTACTAAAATTCACTCTCGTGTTACTTGTCATTCAATTAAGTCTCATCCTTTTTCTGTTAATTTTCAAAAAATACCAATAATTATTTTTTCATTTATAATCATAAAATGTTATTATGACTGTTGTTCAATCAAATATTTAAATTTGCTTTTACATTTTAAATTTAAGCAAGCAGCTTAAATTGACTCCAGTTTGAAATGACAGCTTAAAATGACTCCAGTTTTCTTGATTTTTAAATTTCTCGGACCAATTTGTTGTAATAAAAAAAAATTCTTGTTATTAAATGTCTTTAATTTACGTTTTATTTAAAAGCAAGCATTAAAGTAAAGAAATCTATCTTTCTCGTTAAATAAATTTCTAGTACCAGTTTGTTATTACTATAAAACATTTTTTGTCTTAAACTTATATTTCAGAAGTGGTCTTTTAAAAAAAAGTAATTGAAAAAAGATAGTGCATAAGTAAAAATGATTTTAGTCAATGCAATTGATTTAAAACACCAAACAAAAAAAAGATAAAAGACTTACCATTAAATCTACAATTTATCAAAATTTCGAAAGTATCTGATGTAGGCAGCTTCTTAATATTTTAGTTGACAAAGCACATGTACTACTTGAAGTAGAGTTTGCAGTAAGACTTAATAAGTTATTTAAATTTTCTGCCAAAAAGGGAAAATCTTTTAAAGAAATAGAATTTGCGGGTATTAAATCAAACAAGTTTGTTATGTTTTTAGATTAGATTTCTTGCTAACTTTTTTATATAATATTTGCTGTTGTTGAAACACATTACAAAAAATTATTTGCAAATTTAAAAAAATTAATTTTACAAGCAAGTTGCCAAGAAAATCCTTAAACTGGAAAAATCACAATGCTCTAGAAGTTTTTTCCAATAGACTTTTTCACAGTTAATTAGCAATTGCGTAGTTGTATCAATAACAGAGTTTTTATTTCAAGTTTCACACAATAAATTATAGTTTTTTTATGTTATTTTTCTATTAGTTTTTAAAAATAACTAATTTTCAATAATTTTTAGAATTATTGCTAATCTTTAAATTAGAATTTTGAATTTTCTGAGCATTTTACGGGGACACACAGGGCTAGTTTACACCCTGAATATATATATATATATATATATATATATATATATATATATATATATATATATATATATATATATATATATATATATATATATATATATATATATATATATATATATATATATATATATATATATATATATATATGTATATATATATATATATATATATATATTTATATATATATATATATATATATATATATATATATATATATATATATATATATATATATATGTATATGCATATATTATATATTTACAAATAAACTTAAAAGTATTCTTCAAAATAGAGTACTGATTTTTGAGATGCTAAGAAAAAGAGAATCCTCTGGAAATACAGAGCAAAAAGAACACTGTGAAGTGTTTGACTAAATTTAAAAAAGAGTTTAAATTATAATCCATATTGCTAAGTTAGCGTCTACTAAGCGGGCTGTTTTTTATAATAATGTTCTTTTTCTTTTTGATAAGGCTCAAAAACGCACTGTAAATGTAGTTAGACTTACTCTAGCTGTCCATTACTTCTATTTTATTCTATGATTTTAATTCATCTTTATTTATGGTTTAAACATTTATTTTTATTTTATATTTATCATTTTTGAAGTTATTTAAATAATATTAAATAGCATCTCACATAAAATATAAATTTTGTACATAAAATGTATAAATCTTGTTACAAAACAAAGTCTACATTATTTTAAAATAATCATTTTTCATACATTACCTGAAGTCTATATAAAAATTGATGTAAAGCTTTATTCCATACTAAAAGATTATCAGAAATTTCAAGTCAACTTATAAAATGTCTTTTTGTGAAAATTGTTTTTTTAAAATGCTAACTTTTGAACAATTTTTTATTTTTAACTTTTCAACTTACCCTAACACCACAACTACAAAGTCAAGTATATTCCAACCGTCTCTTAAGTATGCATAATGGTGCAATAAAAGACCTTTTGCAAAAATCTTTAGTATCATTTCTAGTGTGTATATACCAGTGAACACATACCTAATTTAAAAACATCATACAATTATGCAACATAATTATGGAATAGATTAGAACAAGACTATAAATTTTTTTAAAACTGAACAAAATTAAAAATAAAGAGTAAAAAAAATTCAATAAAATATTTGGTACAAATATAAGTGATATATTAACTCGTCTTCTTTGTTTGAAATTTAATGCCAGCACAAAAAAAAGCACTGGCAGTATGGTCATTATATGTGCTATAGTAGATATATAATTAAAATCTAAATATCCAGAAATAAGTTTTTAACATTTCAAGAGCTTTAAATAATAGTACAAGTACTAATACAAAGTAAATAATTAATACAACATACAATATTTAATACAATGAAATAAAAACAAAAACAAAAACAAAAAAATCATAATAACAACAACAACAGCAACAACAACAAAAATAATAATAATATTAAAAATAATAGTAAATATAATAACAATATTAATAATAATAATAACAATTATAATAACAAAAATGATAATAATAGTAATAGTTTTAGGGCATTATAATAGGGGCCCTAAAACTAGAGCAACTAGGAAGCATTGTTGCTCCCTAGTTGAAGTCTGGAGCAGAGCCCTATCCACCAACAGTTTTCAGACATGAAAAAAACAAGTCAGGTTAAGTTAAAAATTTAATTGAAATAGATTTTTCTTGCTTTTATTTTTGAATTTGGTTATAATACTAACATACGAGAATGACAAGGTTATTTGTTGCTCAATTGAAAGGGTAGCAAGTCCAGTCAAATGTTTTTCACTCATTGTTGATCAAGGGTAGTTCTTAACTAATTTAAACTTAAAGAAGCTTTATAAATACATCATTGATGTCCAGAGACTGATATCACAATGTTTTAACACTTTCTACCACTGTGCTCCTCCACTGTGCATAAGAGTTTTATTTACAGGAACACCAAAAAATAAAATGACATTTTTTGTTTTATGTCAAATAAACCAAAAAATACCGAATTGAGACTATGGCATAAACATAGTACAAAAAAAGCTCTAGGAATTTGTATTGATAACCTTGCCTAATCACCAGAAATTGGCCCCTTTATGTTAGTATCCTTTTCATAGCCTTATATTATATTTTCACTGTGTCATATTTTTCAAGTAATTTTACTAAAATTACTAAATTTTACAACTTACTGTTAAAAATAACAACTGTCACTTTTGGCTTTTTTTTGGTGATACTTTAATTTAATTCTTTATTTCTTTCTTCTTTTTGCATCCTGGTAAGATTATAGAATTTCAGTTTATGTTAATATATTATCATAAAAAGTTTTGAAAAGACTTGCATTGTTGTGGGGTAGTATCAGAGTTGACAATGTTATGTAAAAATGAAAATACATAATAACATTATCAGGCAACATGATGACAACCTTAGTAGGAAATGATGATGTCTAGTAACCTTTTATTTTTTGTTAAATATTTGACAGTTTATATAAAATAAAATCTAAAATAAAAATATTTATATAAAATTAATGCTACTATTTTTGAAATTTTAATATAACTTTGTTTCTTTTAAGACCTAGATTGAGACTGGGGCTGTCAAAAATTCTAAAAATGCCTGCCCAGGTACCTATTGAATAAATAGGCAAGTACCCAGGTACACGCCTGTTCTTTTAACATAACTTTTATGAAAGTTATTCTTAAAAGCAATAAAAACTTTTGATTTCATAATGCCATTTATTTGGAGATTTTTCGCTTATATATAAATTTTAAATGTGGGCGGGTACTTAGGTGCTTAGATACTAGTTAACGACTTTAATTGAGACCTCCTTTTTATATATTTTTTTCAAATAACATTACTGTCCTAACGTTCAAGATTCAAATGGTTCCTTATTTCTTTATAGCTATACAACTAGATAAGTTTTTTATTTGTGAAGAACTTGAATTTTTATAAAGTCAATAACTATCATTTTTACTGTTATTTAATTTGACTTGAAAACATGAATAGACATCTTTTTTATGCAATATTTTGTAAAAATGACAAACACTAGACTAGTAAAGTTAATTTAACTTCAACATGAGATCAACATGAGATTATTCTAAAGAATCAAGATATTCTATATAGAATCAACATGAGATTATTCTAAAGTAATCAATTTATTTAAATTCAAAAAAATATTTAAAAAAAACTCATTTTCTTTTTCTTACTATAAAAACTGTGACTATAATCTGTCATAAGTGGTGACAGATTATAGTCAGTATAGTATTTTAAAGAATGTAGTATTTTAAAGAATGCACTGGTCTTAATACTACATCCTGAATCCACTCTCTAAACAAGTCCCAATCTGGAGATTGTCCTGGGCCAGCAGGTGCAGCTAGAAATAATAAGGAACGACTAATCAAACAGCTCACAAATAACTGTCATCAAAGAGAATCCTTTTTTTTTAATAGAGTGGTTAATGTTTAGAACAAAATTCTGGATGCAGTTAAAAACTTTAAACTACTAATTTGTTTAAAAACAGTTAAGATGCCTATGTAAAAACAATTTGAAACTTTGTATACAGTTCCGCTGTCATAGTTGACCATAATTATTTGGTCAGCTCCACTTTATGCCACAGCTGACTACTTGAATATGGTCAACTATGCCACTTTATTATTTTTATATACACTATAGTATATATAGTATACATAGTATATATAGTATACATAGTATATATAGTATACATAGTAAATATAGTATATATAGTATATATAGTATACATAGTATACATAGTATATATAGTATATATAGTATATATAGTATATATAATGTATATATATATATATATATATATATATATATATATATATATATATATATATATATATATATATATATATATATATATATATACATATATATATATATATATATATATATATATATATATATATATATATATATATATATATATATATATATATATTTAAATATATATAAATATGCTATAGTGTGTATATATATACCCCTAAAACATTTTTTAAGTTTTGTTACGTAACGAAACCAGGTTACAATACATGCTAAATGTCCATTAATGATACATAATTGTTACATAGCATGTTTATGTAACGAGACATAACATACGTCCTTTACATATCAAGACATAACATTTTTACATAACCATTACGTATCAAATATGTGTTATTTTTGTGTGACAAAAAGTAACATTTTTAACCTTACGAGACATAACACTGTAGCCTGTAGTTCTTTACAATTTTCAAAAATTTTTGCTTTTTGATATCAACATACCCTTATAACATTTTAAAGTTACGTTGCGTCTTGTAACGTAAAACAAGATTCGTTATGCTACATGTAAAATGTCCGTTAGTTTTATGGGACCGAGATGTAACATTTTACGTAAGAATACGTAATACTGTAATGTTACATTTCCTGAAAAATGTCTGTTATTTTTACGTAGCAAAGACATAACATTGTAACATAACAATACATAACACTGTAATGTAATGCTACGTGCAAAATGTTACATAACAACAGGTAACAACTAATAACACGTGACATTATAACCTATGATGAACTTTCTATTTAATTGTTTTTTCATGTATACATTTTACATATGGAGAGAGTTATATATAAAGAGAAAGTGAGAAAAAGAAGAAAACTATGACTTAGTTAAAGAGCCAAGTCAGAAAAATAGATTAGTGGAAGTTGACAGATATTGCATCGAAAGTACAAACTTTACAAACATTTTTAGCTCAAGCTAATATGTGTAATTAATAGAATAATTAATATCATCAGAAAGGTTGACATTTTAAATAAATTTTTGTTTGTGGGTTTATAAAAACTTGTATTATTAACCAAAAAAAAACTTAATGTAATGTAAAAAAATCTAGATATGAGACGTGGCAAAAATACATTTTAAAAGTTGTACTTTTTTAAGTGTAAATAAAATAATTGAGACGTAACTTTAGCCAATTAAATTTTTTATTTGTGTGACTAATTAGTGACGAAATAGTGACAAATAAGTAACTAATCAAGACGTAACTATTTTACAATTAAAATAAACGATGATAAATAGCAGTTTTTAAAAAATTATTTTTTTATTACAAACATCTCAACAAACATTGCTTGTCGAAGCATTGTTAAGTACTGTAACTCATGAGTTACGGTATTTAACAAAATTGTTTTATTACCCATACTATTTTTATATCAGCATCTAGTGATATAATGTTCTATGTGGAAACTAAATTTTTGTAACATCTTGTGGCGAGGGGGAGGGAGGTGCTCGGAAAATCTAAAAAATTGGGTGATGTCATTTATAGATGGCCCCATTAAACATGACAGTCACGAAGGTTTATTGTCCTGGACCCAGCTATGTTTAATAGCCCGTAAGAAAAGTCTTAAAATGTTAAAATGTTGTGATACTATAAATAAAGTTTTATCATAAACATTTTGGTATTTTAAGTTTTTACAATTTTAGCAATTATATCCTTTTGGCGAACAAACTTTCTTTATAAACTTTAAAATATCATTTAGTGCTCAATTTGCAAGTGCAACTTCCAAAAACGCTACTTTCGTATGTCACATTTTATTTTGTAATTCAACTTGGGGTATTTTTCGATACAAAAAAAAAGATTTCTGATTCTCAATATCCTTTCAAAAGAACTTTATTTCACAGAGATTGTGGGAAATCTTCCTGTTAACAACTCTATTTTGAATTGAATTTCTTACTTTTTAAAAAAATGAGAAACTACAACCAAATATTTTCAGAAAATTATTAGTGTTTTGAAGACATTTAAAAAGTTTTAAAAAAGAAGACATGAAAAATAATGTAACAAAGAGTTAAATTTAAATTGAGAATTGATGTCTTAAATTTAAGACAAAATTTAAATGCGTCACAAATACAATTTGTTTTTTATGTTATGTTACGTCTCAATTAGTTACACTTTTAAAAGTTTCACAAAAACCTAATGTATTGTAAAAAAAGATCTATATTAGTGATGCATTTTAATTAAAATTTAATCACATGTGATGTGATTTTTTTTTATGTTACATTGCATTTTTGTGAAACTTTTAAAAGTGTAACCAATTGAGACATAATGTAACATAAAAAAAAATTATTTGACTTTAAAATTTTTTTTTTTTACGTTACGTCTCAATTGGTTACACTTTTAAAGGTTGAGAATTGATGTCTCAAGATGGAACCATAATTAAAATGTCACAAATATATATATTTTTATGGTACATTAGATATTTTTGAAACTTGTAAAAGTGTAACCAATTAAGATGAAACTGTAACGTAAAAAAAAAATCTGCAATATTTACTAATTTTTACATGTTATCAACTAAAAAGTCTCAAAACTAAAAAAAAATCTGTATATATTTTAATTGCTCCTTTTTTTACATAACGTTATGTCTCATAACATTGCAAATTGATATCTAAAATTAAAATTTTTTTTTTTTAAGATTTTTTTACAATGTTACATCTCAATCAGCTTTTTTTTTTTAAGAAAAAAAAAAAAAGCCGATTGAGATTTAACATTGCGGATTAAAACTTTATTTATTTTTCGTGACAAAGTAACTAATTGAGACGAAGTTATTTTACAATAAAAAATAAAGATGGTAACTAGCAATACAACAATTATAAACAAATATTTACTGCGGTATCAAGTTTATTTAATTAATATTTCATTAAAAATAAGAGAATGAAACCTTGTTACCAATTATAACCAATTGAGACGTAACAAAACTAGTAAAATGTTATGGGGAAAATATATATATATTTTTATATATACCAGACCTTCTCTTAAGAGGCGTGCGATCGCACACCTTATATGACCATGCATATAGTTCTTTGTTTTAACAACTTGACCACGGATTATTACAAGTTTTGATAATTAGCGCATTTAAAAAATGCACTAAAAAAAACAAATATAATTAAAATTAAAATAAGCAATCCATAAATTGAAAAGAGAATAAAATCCTTAAAATAATTTATATAACAAAAATTAACCTAAAAAAGTAAAATATATAAAAAATGATAAAATAAATAAAGGAAAAACCAGAAAAAAAATCAAATCATTTATTAATTAATGTAAACTTAAGTAAGCAAAAGTGAAAAAATGACAGCTCTAATAATCTTTATCATTCCTTCCCATGATCCATAGTGAGGTAAAGGGTCATAAAATTTAATAAAATTTTGTGGTGCAAATTTAAAATTTTATTAAAAAGTTATAGGGTGCAACTAATTGACAAATGAGTGCGCATTTATTAAAAGACAGACAGAAAAACAAACATCACGTTTCTTTAATTTTGCTTATGCAAACATTGCCGTTTGATTAAGATTTTTCAAAATGAATGCATTAATTCAGCGTTTTTTTTTTAAAAATTTTGCGATCAATAGTTTTTTATTTATTTCAAAAAACACATATTTAAAATGAATAACAATTAATTTCAGAAACTTTTTTTAAAAAAATGCCAAAACCTAATTACTTTTTTCATCAGCGTCACTTTTAAGTAAAATAACTAAGCACGCTATAGAAAAAAGTAATTATGTTTTAGTATGGTTTTTTGCATGCGCTAACAAAAGTATGTATAATTTTACTTAAAATAAATGCTTTTGCAAAAACTTCAAAAGAAACCGTCCTTAAACAATTTGATTGCTTTCTTTAATTGAAGAAAGCGATCATGATGTTTAAGCATTATATTCCTATGATAAAACGGTTTGTAATTATTTTTTGATTGCTTCTGAACTCTAATCTAAATACTTTTTTCAACGATTGCTTTTATTAAGTTGCATCAAAGTACTCAGGAAATTTTGTGGCAGTTTAATTGTAATTATGAAATCAATTAAATTAAAAATCGCATTTACATTTGCTTTGTTTCTTTTTAGCGCATTTTTTAAACGCCTAATTTATAAAAACTTGCCAAGAGCCATGGTCAAGTTGTTAAAACAAAGAACTATATGCGTGGTCATATAAGGCGTGCAATCGCATGCCTCTTAAGAGAAGGCTTGTATACAGTAAATAGAATGTATATATCACAATCAATTGATATCAATATAATTTTTTATAAATAAACTTGGAAACTGAAACTAAAACCTCATTTTAATTAAAGAGGAAAACATAGAGGTGTTAAATTTTTGAATAGATTGTTTTCATAATCATAAATTTTCAAGGTTTCTTGAATATATGCATTAAAAATTACTTACTCTGCTACTTCAGGTGCATTATTCATTGCCAAAAATAAGCAGTTTATAATAACAGTTGTTATCATGAAAAAATCGAAAAGTTTGTTTGTAATAATATAAATTGCCCATTTTCTGATTGGATTGCTAATATCAAAAATCCATAAAGTCTTTTCTTTATTGAACCAATATATGTTAACTCTTGAAAACTGTCTTACTAAAACCAGGAAAACCTATATATGTATAAATATATATATATATATATATACAACCTATATATGTATAAGTAGCTTTATATATATATATATATATATATATATATATATATATATATATATATATATATATATATATATATATATATATATATATATATATATATATATATATATATATATATATATATATATATATATATATATATATATATATATATATATATATATATATATATATATATATATATATATATATATGTACATATATATATGTATATATATATATATATATATATATATATATATATATATATATATGTATATATATATATGTATATATATGTATATATATATATATATATATAATATATATATATATATATATATATATATATATATATATGTATATATATATATATATATATATATATATATATATATATATATATATATATATATATATATATGTATATATATATATATATATATATATATATATATATATATATATATATATATATTTATATTAGAATGTGCAAGAAACATTTTTTTAGGATATCTCAATTCCCATCCCCCTGAGGCTAAAAATTATTAAAGAAGAAACCTGTAGTTAAAAAGTAATACTTGTAGAATTTAAATTTAATATTTAAAAATATCTGTAATCTCAATATTTAATTAAATTGTTAGGAAATTTTTTTTTTGTTGCATTTTTTTTTTTAAATAGAAACATTGTTAATAAGTTATATATTATTATTATAGTGTGATACATGCTTATTTTTGCATATAAAATTTTTAAAAAAAGCTTAAAATTTTAAGAGGATCAGAAATATGGTCAAGCCAACAAAAATGTGTGCATTTCTTTGTAATCAAGAATGTCTTGCAATCAAGAAAAAAATCTTGTAGTCAAGAAAAAAATCTTCTGTTCTGATTAATACAGATTTTTCTTTTGAAACAACCTTAACTAAATGGTTTGATTTATTATTTTGCAACAACCTTAATTAAAAGGTTTGATTTACTATTTTGCAACAACCTTAATTAAAAGGTTTGATTTATTATGTCAATTAAATGGTTTTCATGCATCAAGTAATAAGCACAATCAACAATCCTAGTATTAAAAGAATTGTGTTCAAAAACATGCCTTACTTAAAAAGGCTTAGCAATCATATGCTTTTTTATTTTTTAGACAATAAAAAAGGTTAACTTAATAGTGTTTGATTATGTTACACATTTTTGAGATATGTACTACATAGATATTTGTTGTCATGTTACATTTATTTTACATAAGGCTAAATATTCAAGTAATATTTAGTATAGGGTAAAAATGTTTAATGAATGATTGAAAAAAATTAATGAGTTAATGTATGTTATATGATTTAATATTTTATAGTATTTTATAATATGGGTTGCCCTCTCAAGCAGGACTTAAACAAAACACAGAGAAGATACAGATTAATAACAGTAGGATTCTGTTTCTTTTCAACAACTGTATTAATCAGCTGTTCACAAATCATCTAAACAGAATCAGAAATGTGTTCAGATATACAGTAGTAAAATCTCCAAGGTTTTCGAAATTTAAATCTACAAACCTTTTTGTAGCTTGTTCTCAAAGGTATCAAGGCAAAGATCTTATCAGCAAGTGCAAATCAAGTAAAGAACCTAACCATAGATGAGCTTCTTTTTCTCTTGTAACAGATCTGTTTAAGAAGACTGGTTTTGGAGAACACCTTATTTATGTTGTTGCTGTTAGGTAACAAATTGTGTAATATTTTAAAGTCAATAAAAAAGTAAACAAATCAACAAACAAAAACATTATTGAAACAAATAAAAATAATCATTATCTAGGTAACTAATAAACATGAAGAGAGGTTTGATTGAAATGAGCTACAAGTTGGATCATCCTCGTGCAACATTGCAAGGAAGGCACTAGAGTTTGGCACAAGGAAGTTAAACACAAAGACATTTAACATAATGGACTATAAGGAGTTTGGCACAAGGAAGGAATGGACTGTGAACTGTGACTGTGAGGGTTCTGTGAACTAGTTAGTTGTCTTCTACTTCAGGGATGTACTAGGCTGTCATTTTCATCAACATGGAGCCTGCTATAAAAACAGATACAGTTAAAGTATATTAATAAAATCTTCTATTTTTAGGGGAAAAAATTATTTTTAAGCTTTTTTTTAAATAGTTTATAATAATAGTTCATTTGTAGGGTTAATGGGAGATGCTCTATATTTGCTGACCCTGAGGATAATTGAGAAGATAGCTTAGAAAATAATTGAGATGAAGATGGTAAAGGCAATGGCAGACTTTATTTTTATATGCTATAATCAATGGTCCCATAGTATATAGAATTTCTATATGGTGGACAAGCTTCAAATAACTTCATAATAAAAATAAGAGAAAGAATAATTAGTTATGCTGGTCCTAGCCAGCAATAATATTTACAAAGAGAGAAAAAAGATCTTGAAAAAGTTGATTTTGTGTGATGTCCCTGAACAATTTTAAGTAATTAATTAAATAAAAACCTAATCACTAATTTGAATATTATTATTATAATTATTATTAGTGTGATACATGCTTATTTTTTTAAGATCATATAAAATCTGCAAAAGAAACTCAAAATTGATGGAAAAGTTGATCAAGTGTGATGACCCTGAGCATTTTTAAATTTAGAAATCAAAACTACCAGTTATTAGCAGATCAACATATTATACTAAACTAATAAACAATAAAGCTTCCTGAACCTTAAACAAGGTTCCGAGAGCTGGAACATTGTTTAAGATAGCTGAGATTTTTGTCGGAGAAATGAAGTGGATCAAGGGAGATGCCAGTCATATGATTAATATATTTAGTTGATTAAATGTGTCAATGAATATGAAGTGGATTAAATCATTGAAAGACTGCTGAATGGAATATCAAACTAATCCAGGATTTTGTTGGAGGCTACAGGTGAAATTACATGAAAAAGAACCTCATGCTGGTTGCCAGAGACAACAAAAACATGTTACAATATACTTAATATAAAAAAAGCAGCTTTAAAATGTTACATTTTTGAACTAAAAATAAAATTTGCAAGTAAATTTTGAAAACCAGATTTTTTTTTGTAAAAATTCAACTTTTAAAATAAAGTTAATAAATAAAAAATTTATTTAATGACTTAATAAATAAAGTTTTACAGATAATACTTTTACACAAAAACAAAAAAAAAGTTTTTTTTGGTATTCTAGCCTATTTGAGCCTAAGAGAATGGAAAAAGAGAGATAGGGAGGTATTTTTTTTTTAATTTAATACACCCATATATATATATATATATATATATATATATATATATATATATATATATATATATATATATATATATGTATGTATGTATATATATGTATATATATACATATATATATATATATATATATATATATATGTATATATATATATATATATATATATATATATATATATATATATATATATATATATATATATATATGTATATATATATATAAATATATATATATATATACATTTATATGTGTATATATATATATATATATAAACATATATATATATATATATATATATATATATATATATATATATATATATATATATATATATATATATATATATATATATATATATATATATACATTTATATGTGTATATATATATATATATATATATATACATATATATATATATATATATATATACATATATATATATATATATATATATATATATATATATTATATATATATATTTATGTATATTTGTATAGTTTAGCACTTATGGGGACAGATTTTACAAAAAAACAAACACTTATGGAGGCATTTACATTATTGGGCACATCGACTGAGGGTTTGGTTTGGCCAGGCATTAAGGTCAGGCTTAGATTTAGGGTTACGACAAAGTTTAAATTTGGTTATATTATGTAATTAATGGTTTTTGTAAATAGATGAAGTTAAAAATGAAATATAATATAAAATAAATAAACAAAATAACAAAAATTAATATAAAAAATATATTTTTATAATAAAATAATAAATTTAAATATGTATAAATAAAAATAAAATAAAAATTAAAAAATATATATAAATATGATAAAAATAGTATATATATATTATACACTATTTTTATCATATTTAGTATATATAGTAATATATTTACTAAATATGATAAAAATAGTATATATATATATATATATATATATATATATATATATATATATATATGTATATAAATATATATGTATATATATATATATATATATATATATATATATATATATATATATATATATATATATATATATATATATATATATATATATGTATATAAATATATATGTATATATATATATATGTGTGTGTGTGTGTGTGTGTGCGTGTGTGTGTGTGTGTGTGTGTGTGTGTGTGTGTGTGTGTGTGTATGTGTGTGTGTGTGTGTGTGTGTGTGTGTGTGTGTGTGTGTGTGTGTGTGTGTGTGTAAATATATATTTATATATATGTGTGTGTGTGTGTGTGTGAGCACATTAAAATTAAATCAAGCTAATATTTATCATATATATCAGCTAATATTCATCATATAAAACAATAATAAACTCTCCCATTAAATATTCCTATAGTTTACAACTAATTAATCAGGATGAGCTCGAACCAGCTTTTTTGGCTACAATATTCTTTATTATGTATGTATATAAGAATACTACTTGTCACAACAGTACATAAAATCAAAAATTTTAATCAATAATACAACTACTAAACTAAACCTTATAACACAAATTTATGCAAAAGAAATTTAATAGAGTGTTTCATATGCAGCAAAGCATAATAAGCTAAATGAACTTTAAATAAGAACTAAAATAAATGTTCAACTATTTGGAGTAGTAGTTGAAACAAGGGTAAATTAATTTTGTAATTTTTTCATTAGATGTAGTAGAAATGATTATCTTAATAAATTTTAACAAAATGATATTTATAGTATCTCTTCAAAATTGTTATTTTCTTTTTCTGGACATAATTTTTTCA